TAACGTAGTGCCTTCTACACAATAAATGGACCCAAGCGTTCAATAAATTCTGGCCGCTGCTGTCTCTTGCTCTGCTCGATTATTGGTCTTGATGGGCTCACCAGGGCCTAGGTTGAGTTAAGCCAAACTGATCTTTGAGGATAACTGGGGTAGGACTCAGGATAACTGGGGTAGGACTCAGGGCAAATTGATGCTTTAAAAATTCTTCCCTTTTTTTTCCCCTTTTCTTTTCCCAGAGAGAGGGTCTTATTCTGTCGCCCAGACTGAAGTCAATGGTGCAATCGCAGCTCACTGCAGCCTTGATTTCCCGGGCTCAATCCATCCACCTTCCTCAGCCTCCTGAGTAGCTGGGACTACAGGCCCACAAAACGATGCTCAGCTAATTTTTGTATTTTTGGTAGAGATGGGGTTTTGTCATGTTGCCCAGGCTATAGAACTCCTGGGCTCAAGTGGTCCACCCGCCTTGGCCTCCCAAAGTGCTGGGATTACAGGCGTGAATGACCTTGCCTGGCCCAAACTTCTTGTCATTCATAATACATGGCCTTTTTTCCTGTTCCCATTTCTTCCAGCGGCCAGTCCTAGGGGCACGGAAATGGAAATGAGAGCAGTTGCATCGTTAAGTCTAAGTCATTCAAAGCTGCCTCTAAGGATCAATTTTTATTTGCTCCCTTACCCTTAGAGGGGTTCCAGCCTTTCCCATTAGTCAGACATGCCTGGGGGCATTCCTGTGTGCTGGATAGGGGCAACCTCTTCTCCAAAGGGCTCTATTTTTGTTGCTATTTACTACAGAATGTTCTGGAAAACCAAGTACATGTCTGCTGCTTTCTTGTTTTTCTCCTTTGGCAGGTGGTGTGTGTTTAAGAGTGTAGGTCTTGTGCTAGGAAAGCCCCGGGGACCAAGGAGACAGCTTCAGCTTCTATAGGAAACTTATTACTGCCTTTGCTATTGCTGTACTTTAACCAGAGGCCAGAAAAGGAGCCAAGCATGAGCAGGGAACACAGCCCCTCCTCAGAAAAACTCCTGTGCCATTGTTGTAGCTCAGCTCCTGAAGCTCTCAGGATGTCACATCACCTTGCTGACAGGAAGCCTGAGTGCTGTGGGAGGCCAGGAGCATTGCTGGGGAATCAGGGAAGTCACAGTTTGGAGAACGGTGTTGTCAGTGAAGAACGCCCTTCCAAGAAGAGACACAGAGACTGGGAACCACAGTTTACATTTCAAAAATGGAAGTGGACAAGCGGGCCAGGACTGGCTGATGGGAACCTGGACCCTCCAGCCATAGCCCTTCTGGTTGGAAGAGATCCAACTCTTCACCCAGATCCATTTGACTTTGGAAATATCTCACTGGTCTTTGCGAAGGCAAAGGTGTGTGGGGTGTCGAAGAGGAGAGGGAACGGTTGGGGTGTACTCTGGGTTGGGGGCTAAGGACAGCTGGAGGGAAGGGAAACCCATGCTGGATGGTGGATGTTACCTCGTCCTTATTTCAAGCCTGTGGAGTGGGCAGCGGAGGTTATTCCTGTTTTACAGATGAGAAAACAGGCTTAGTTTAGGGGATTAAGCACCAAATGACACAGGAGTTATTGGTCAGAGCTGGGATTCAAACTAAGCCCTGATGCCTCTGGCCTTTCATGTCTCCACTGGTGGTTCTTTGTTGACTTTGGATTAAAAAGGTGTCTCCAATCTAGGCCTATCCTGTTTGTAATTTAGAGTTTCTAAAGTGCCCTTCCAGAAGTGATCTTTGAACCCGTCTTTGTCCTTTTGGGCTTCTCTAACAAGGTAACATAGAATAAGTAGTTTAAACAACAGATATTTTCTTCTCATGGTTCTGGGAGCTGGGAATTCCATGGTCAGAGTACCAGGAGGTACTTGGGCATCTGGGATCCCAAGCACGGCAGGAGGATCTCTTGAGACACAAAAAAGAACCCCTTGCCAGGCACGTGGCTCACACCTGTAATCCCAGCACTTTGGGAGGCTGAGGCAGGAGGATCACTTGAGGTCAGGAGTTCAAGACCAGCCTGGCCAACATGGTGAAACCCGTCTCTACTAAAAATACAAAAATTAGCTGGGCGTGGGACACGCACCTGTAGTCCCAGCCACTTGGGAGGCTGAGGTGAGAGGATTGCTTGAACCTAGAAGGCGGCAGTTGCAGTGAGCCAAGATCATGCCACTGCACTCCAGCCTGGATAACAAAGCAAGACGCCATCTCAATTTTTAAAGTACTCCTGGGTCTGTTGGCCCCTTTCCAGCCTCCCCAGGCAGCTTTTCTTCATGCTGGTCTGTATTTTCCAGCTGCCCAGAAGCACTTGTGTCCCACCATGCTGTCACCTCTCTCATAGCACACACCTCTCTGTCCTCATGGGATGAACCCCCCTTTGTTTCAGAATGTCTTAGGAAACTTTGTGAAGGGCACTTTACTCAATGTCAGGAAGTCCTTGACAAGGATATGTGGCGACAGATGGAACTGAGGACCAGGCCCAGCCAGTGGAACCTGGTCATGCCACTCTATCTGATCAGCTATGATTTCATTGGAAGAATTGAGATGGGGAGCACACGGCTGAGCACAGTCACCACCAGAGAAAGGTCACTCTTCATCTCAGACGCTGCCTTTTTATGAAGGCTTTTTATAGCCCCCTTTTTTTGGGGAGTGATTAAAGTAAGCTCTGACCTCTTTCCTGAATCATTCTAGTGCTTTGGTCACATTTCATGGGGAGAAATTAAGATCCCTTATTGTTTGTTATTTCTGTTTTCCTCCATGGCTCATGCTCATTACCTGTGGCAAACTAGTGCTTTCTTCAAATCATAAATGTGTATCCTGCTAGAGTATCAATAAAGGCCTTTGGGAAGACCTTAGGGGTGTGCTTCAGCATGGGTGGGGCCATGGTTCAATGATGTTTGAATGTTTCTTCACAGTAAAACTTGTAGGGGAAAGCAAAGGAAACATGTTTGCTTTAGAATTGGAAGAATTGGGAGTTTGGCAGGGCAGTTCTCTAGACAGAAGCTGATTCGCATCAAAAAGTGTTATTTCTTCTGGATGTCACCCTTGATGTGGCACCTTGGGAGCCGACATGCTTAGGGCAGTTGAAACGAATGGTCTTCTCTATGACCCAGCAACAGGGCTAAGAAGCCTACTCAGGTGCACATACTAATGTGTTCTGCAACCTCCTGGCAATAGCCTGGGTGCCCATCAGGAGGAGGATGAATAAATAATTAATAAGTGAAGCAGAACTACATGAACAACGTGAAAAAAAATTTTCAAAATTTTAGGTTTTGCCCAAAAAAAAAAAGCCAATTTATATTGTGTAGTTGAAAACTATTAGGCCGGGCACAGTGGTTAATGACTTCAATCTCAGTACTTTGGGAGGCTGAGGTGGGCAGATCACTTGAGCCCAGGAGTTCAAGACCAGCCTAAGCAACATAGCGAAACCCCATCTCTACAAAAAGTAGAAAAAATTGGCCGAGCATGGTGACGCATGCCTGTGGTCCCAGGTACTTGGGACACTGAGGTGGGAGGATTGCTTGAGCCAAGAGGCTGAAGCTGCTGTGAGCCATGATCATGCCACTACACTCCAGCCTGAGCAGCAGAGTGAGACCCTGTCTCAAAGAAAAAAAAACCTATTTATGTAAGGTTTGAAACAAGCAGCACAATGTTTATATATATTGTCTGTGGCTACAAACATGTAGTAAAAAATATAATGAAAAGCAAAGGAATGATGAATACCAAATCTGAGAGAGTGGTTACCTCTGGGAATGGAAGAGAAATGAGACCTGGGAGTTGTTCACAAAGAATGTCAATGATTTATCTTTTTTCCTGAAATAGTTGGTGGCTATGTGAAGTTTAGAATATTACTTACATTTTTTAGTGGTTGAAATACTTCATAATTTTAGTTTAGTGTTTTTGTTTGTTTGTTTTTTAAGGCAGGGTCTTGCTCTGTTGCCCAGGCTGAAGTGCAGTGGTACAGTCACAACTCACTGCAGCCTCAACCTCCTGGGCTCAGGTGATCCTCCCACCTCAGCCTCCTAGGTAGCCGGGACTATAAGCACATGCCACTATGCCCAGCTAATTTTAAAAAAAGAAAAATTTTTTATAGAGATGGAGTCTCACTGTGTTGCCCAGGTTGGTCTCAGACTCCTGGCATCAAGTGATCCTCCCACTTCAGCCTCCCAAAATGCTGGGATTACAGGTGTGAGCTATCACACCCAGAGTAGAATTTGTTTTTAAAAAGAGGAAGAACCGGCCAGTCATGGTGGCTCATGCCTGTAATCCCAGAACTTTGGGAGGTCAAGGCAGGTGGATCATTTGAGGTCAGGAGTTCAAGACCAGCCTGGCCAACATGGTGAAACCCTGTCTACTTGAAATATAAAAACTAGCTAGGTGATAGTGGCGTGTGCCTGTAATTCCAGCTACTTGGGAGGCTGAGGCAGGAAAAATCACTTGAGCCTGGGAAGCAGAGGTTGTGGTGAGCCGAGATGGTGTCACCGCACTGCAGTCTGGGCGAGAGTCAGACTGTGTCTCAAAAAAAAAAAAAAGAGGAAGAACCTTTCCTAATCAGTTCAATCAACAGTTTTAATTTTCAGGTGTTACTAACTGGACTCTTCTGGAGCTGATGACCATGACATCTTGCTGTTCTCCCCCCTCTTGCCCAGATTCATCATGGTCACTTCATCATTCCTCAGTATTAGCACCAGTGAGAAATTAAGAGAAGGCACAAAACCCCTCATTTTGCTACTTGATAGTCTGATGAGTAGAGAGTAGAAATAATGCACTAAAGGAAATCTTCACATTTTGAGCATATCGTGTTCATTGATTACAATGACAATAGCCAATGTTAACTGAGACAAACTTGAATTTTGGTTAACCCATAAGAATCTCCTGCCAATCCAAAGAGGCAGGAGGGAGTGGTCATCCAAAAGCCCCCATGCAAACCTTGCTCTAGGCCCTCTGTCTCCCAAGGGAGTAGCTTTGATGACTTGTTCTGAAATCATTGCTCGCTTTGCATTCACAGCATGGCCGGACTCCCCTGCATCTTGCTGCCAATAAGGGCCATCTTCCTGTGGTCCAGATCTTGCTGAAGGCTGGCTGCGACCTCGATGTCCAGGATGATGTGAGTAGAAACCATCATTCTATTGGGTTGAGTTGGCAGGGGAGCTTGTCTGGCTAGAAATTCACAAAGTATAAGCTGTGAGATGGGAGGGCAGTAGATGCTCTCCCAGCACGTTTTAGCTGCATCTTGGTCTCTGTGGTGGCGAGAACTTCCTCTTGAAGACCTGCTCTGAGGCCCATTCTCAGTAGCAAGTTAGAGTTTGGGAGTGTGGGGTAGTTCTATCATGGTTCACTTCGTGTCTGTTATTCAAGTGATCACTTCCTGTCAATGTACAAAATGCCTCAAAGGGGATTTTTGCCTGTCTCAGCATAAAGAGACGCACACACGCACATCAGTGAGTATGGGCAAGACCTGCTGGAAATGTGTGTCAATGACCAAATTTATTGGAGGAAAAATGGGGGTTAAAAACTTAATTTTTTTTCTCATCTTAATTTCTCTTGGTCAGTGAATATGACATGGAAAAATGATCTATTCAAGATGGGGAGCTGGGGGAAAACACAGATCTCATAGAATCTAAGAAAAAGGAGGCCTCCAGAAAGAGTTTACTCTGGCACCATGCTATTATTGAGACATGGCCATCAGCCAACTCAGCTCTGAGTCTATTCATTCAGATTATCTAGAGATGGACTCTGATTGGCTCCTCTGACATCAAGTGGCCAATCCTGAGTGAGTCAGCAGTGGCTAGGATGTAGTCACACAGTAGAGTGGGCTGTCCTCTTGGGTCTTTGGAGAAGGCGGTTCTCTAAGAAAGGACCATATAAATTGTCCTCCAACAGCTATTAGGAAAAGGCCCTTTGATAATACAGTTGAAAACTATTTTTAGAAATGGTTGCAACACTAATTCATGCAGTAGAACTCTAAGAAATAAGAACTTTTGTGGGGAACACAGAATCTTGGAGTGTTTGCACTTATAACCTCTTCCAAATTCACCTTTAATAACTGCAGTTATAAGAGTGTGATTCAAATTTCAAACCTTCAGCTGTGCTACAGTGTGGTTTACTAAAGTGCTTCTAGTCTTCTTTGGGTCTATGTATAATGTCATAAAACTTGGCAAACACATAGTAAGAACAGTATTTGCAAAGAAATAACTAAATATGCATGGGCAGAAGGCCATCCAGTGTCTTTCATAAATCTCTGGTTATATCTGGAACTTGTTGGGTCATCAAGGATGTTATTTTCAAAAAATGCTGATTTAGCTTTAAGCTGTTGATTTCTACCTTGGGTCATAATACTTTTTTTATTTTCCTGCACTGTGGTCATCATAACATTCTCAACTATATCATACCTTAGATGACAGGAGCAAAAATACAAGGAGAGAGAAAAGATTTTGACCATAGAAGAGGTGGGGCACTGAGTTTTTACTGGTGCTAACATGTTGGGATGCATTTGGTCTTCTCTTCGCATAATTAAAGGCTTTTCTTGCCACAGTGGCAAGGCCAAAATGTCAGGCGTGCTAACCCATTCCAACCTGATACCCCTGCCTCACATCGTGGTCTCTAAGTATCACTGTATTCTCATGCAGCAAAGCCCTTGTTAATTTCCTAGAACTGCTGCTGTTTATACCAGGCAAGGTAGGAAGTGAAACAGGCAAGAATTTTTTTAGGTAGCCAAAGTGAGACGTGTCAGCAGAAGAAAAGCCAGCTCTACTTTTAGACAGAAAGATCCCCTTTTATTTATTGAAGTTATTTTCTTGCATCTTTTCCTTGTCCTAGACAGACAATGCATATATTGCTTCTCCCAGATAAATTAAAACAAAAATACAACAACAAGAAACAGTTGGGAGTGGAGAAGGTACAATTGACCTTCACTAGTTCTGAAGAAATGTATTTACCATCATATGATCCATGCCTGTTCTCTGTATATTTACCATGCTGTTGATGGCCAGCCTTGAAATACATGCAAGAACCCAAGGAAGAAAACTCTTGATGTGTGTCCTTTAAAGAATCTAGGAGATCAGTTATTTGAAAAAAATCTCAGAAGTTACCTGTCTTGGATGGTGGGTAGAAACAGAATGTTAATGATATGAAGAATTTACTCCTAACTTCATATTCTACAGATACCGATCTTTATGGCATGGTAAGGACTGAGAATTAGTTGAAGAATGACCTCCAGTGACCTGGAGTGGGATTATTATGAATTTCAACCTGTGGAAACCAGTTCTTTATATTATGCAACTCCAGGAGCAAATTCTCTCTTGCTTCCCGCCAATCCTGTCAACTCTCATTGGAGCGCTGATGCCATCTCTGATTGGTCAATGAGCAATCACATAGCCCCCGCCTCAGAAATAGTCCAGGATGCTGTGGCCGCAGTGAAAGCCATGAAAGAAGATAAAAATAAGAAAAACCACAGAGGGAAGGTTAGGAAGGACCCTAGAAGATCAGAAAGAGAAAAAGAGGTCAGCAACTTGCTTTACACACCTAACCTGTCTTGAGCTTCCTTGCAGTATGTCTGCATATGCCACATGGGGGTTATTCCTCCTGAAGAGGGGCACACTGCACCCTTGCATGATGAGAATTTCCTCCATGAGCATGGCCTTTGGAATATGCCAACACTACACTCACTCTTTTTCACCATATAGGAAAGAAAAATAACAGTATTTCAAAACAAGGATTTAGACCTTATAGGCACCAAAGCTCTTAAAATCCCAAAGTGAGAAACACTGTCTCAGAAAAACTGAGAGCTGGCAGTTCACATACTTTGCAAATAGGTCAACGTGTTCCAAATCAACGTGCCAAACTGCAAGGTTGCAGGCCCTTCAGGTTTCTAGCTACAGCGTCTTTCCTTCTGCTTCTTGTAGTTAATCATTCAACAAATGCTTTTGGGGCAGCTCTAGTGGCTATGCTTTACTTTATGAAAGAGGCAGTCCCAACCCCACAGATGCATCTGACCTTTTCTGGGGCTTGTCTTAAGGTTAATGACTTCACAGGATGGAAGCAGCTTGGGGTGAGTGCAAAGAGCCTCGACAATTTGATTTCTGGTCCAAGCATGCTATCCTAGGCTTATCAATAAAATGAGAGAATTAGACATCAATAAAATGAGAGAATTAGACTTGGCACACAGGAGGGAGTCAATAAATATTCAGGCCAGGCCTGGTGGCTCACACCTGTAATCCCTGTGCTTTGGGTGGCTATGGAGGAAGGATCGCTTGAACCCAGGAGTTGGAGACCAGCCTGGGCAACATGGCAAAACTCTATCTCTACCAAAAATTAAAAAATTAGCTGGGCAGGGTGGCAAATGCCTGTGGTCCCCGCTGCTCAGGAGGCTGAAGTGGGAAGATTGATTGAGCCTGGGAGGTGGAGGTTACAGTAAGCTGAGATCATGCCACTGCACTCTAGCATAGGTGACAGAGTGAGACCCTGTCTCAAAATGAATGAATGTTCACCGAATAGATAATTCAGTAAACACTGTTGAGAGTGCTCTACCTTTTCCCAGCATTTCAGAATTTCATGATTGACTTAGGTGTCATATACAAGTAAGAATTATGTCAAAGTAGCCATTGTAAGTGTTGAGGCCACATCTTGTTCTTCTCTGTGTCATTTCAAGGAGGAAATGTTTCAATGGTAAATTTTAATGTTATAGGAGGAAAGAGTCCATTTGTAGGTAACTGACCCTGTTTCCACTGAGGGCCTCAAGGTGCTAAATTGTTTGTGTTGTATTCTAAGAATAGATCCCAGACGATAACCTGAGGCAACCATTGTTTACATGTTTCATGTCCCTCACCTCAGAGCCTTTAATTCTCATCTTGGTGACTTGAGAAGGCCAGGTTTTTCAAAGCCTGAGAAAGCTATTGCTCAGTCCTCCAGAACCATTCCAGCTAGTGTCAGCACAGTAGCAGTCCGGCCAAGGACAGCCACTTTGGGTAGGAAGAGTCTGAGCCTGGCCTGACAGCGGTGTTTATCTGACCTGGGCTCTCAGTGAGGTCTCTGTCTGAGAGGACAGCGGGATGGGGAGCTATGGCCTGGAGACAGGCAGGACAGCCAAAAGGTCCCCCAGAGGAAGGGGTGTGCAGGACCTGTGCCAGCAGCTTAGTACAATTTGTGTTCTCTCCGCAACCTCACACAAGTCATTAGATCTCCTTGAGTCTTGCTAGTCTGGAAATTTCCTCCTAAGGTCTGAACTGAAAGTTAGATTGAGTTGCTTACATTGAGCTAGAGTTTCACAAAGGAAAATTTTCTCAAAGGCAGCAAATAGAGTAGATTGATGATGAAAGCAAGTAATAAATACTTCGGTGCCATGCTGGCTCCAAAGATGCCTCAACTCATAATTTAGAGGGCAGCTTGTGAAACATGATAAAAACATTTGACCTAAACCACAGCTTAGGTTAGACTGTGCCCTATCATCCCGTGAAGGCCCTTCGTGAAGTAATTTGTACAGCAAGAGTGGCTAACATGACTCATATGCTCAGGGCTTGTTGCTCACACTTTATAAAAAATACAGAGTGGTAAGTTTCGTCCTGGAAAAAGGTTGTTTGTATTGGTCCAAAGAGCACTAGAGTGTAGGTAGTTTGTGGTTATATTTAAAAGCCTGTAAGAAGTGGAAATCTAACCAAGTCAGTACTACCCTGAAAGCGTGAGCTGCAATCGCATGGTTCTTGCTAAGAAGCGCACCGTCTTTCTCAGCAGGTCAGTGATCATCAATCGCACCAGAGGCCTATTTTGGGAAACTCCATCACCATTCTGATAGGGAAATGGGAAGTCTTGGAAATCTTATGGAAATTTTAAAAAGTTGAGACTTGGGGCCAGGCACAGTACAGTGGTTCACGCCTATAATCCCAACACTGGGAGGCCGAGGTGGGCAGATCACTTGAGGCCAGGAGTTCAAGTCCAGCCTGGCCAACATGGTGAAACCTCATCTCTACTAAAAATACAAAAAAAATTAGGCATGTGGCAAGTGTCTGTAATCCCAGCTACTCTGGAGGCTGAGGCAGAAGAATTGCTTGAACCTGGGAGGCAGAGGTTGCAGTGAGCCAAGATGGCGCCACTGCACTCCAGCCTGGGCGACAGGGTAAGACTGTCTCAAAACAAAAACAACAAGTTGAGACTTGGGCAGTATCTCGTATGATTACTAGTTTCCTTGTCTAGAACTATTTGTAATAGGTCTCAGGTAGATAGCACAAATGGCACAGCCTACGTCCTGCAGCCACTGACCCAGCGGCCACATTCTTCTTTTAACCACAGCAAGGGTTCTCTTTGAATAAAGGGCCTGGGAAGGTGGATGAGAAGAAGACCAGCCTGAGCCTAACTGATAACGGGAATAATAGTTTAGGATGCTGAAGGGTGAGGGTCGGTGGTGGCAGTGCTGAGGACTGTGACCTGTCCTCAGTGTCCTGACCCCCTCACTGCAGAAATTCCTTACCTTCCGCAAATGAACAGTGGGAAGAGTGTGTGACAGGGACAGTCCTGTTACTGGGGTATTGTTTCTGCTCAGACTTGTAATAAGTGGTGGTTTTTCCTGATGCTAAAAGTTATCTGTGTTAAATATAAAAAGCTGGAAAATATTAAAAAGTATAAAAAGAAAAGTTAAAAGAAAAATCCTCTCAAGGATTTTTAAAGGGAGACTTTTTTAATTTTAAGAAAGCAATTTTGAGTTTTAACTAGGATTTTTTTATTGCAATAAAATATACATAGCATTAAATTTACCATCTGAACATATTTACGTATACAGTTCAGTGGCATTAATTACACTCACATTGTTGTGCAGCCATCACCACCGTCTATCTTTAGAACTTTGTTACAGATTACATGTTTTTAGTGTGCATTGTCGTTTGTTATAGATCTGGGGAGTTTAATAAGTAAAATCAGTATTTCGTTAAGGTTGTTAATAGGTAGCAGTGCATCCTTCTTTTTAAAAATCTGTTTTATCTTATGATGACCTCTGTCCTCTCTTGGGCCAAGCACCAGGGACGCCCCAGAATGTTTCCTTTGCCCCTCTGGTGCTCTGCCAGGAAACTTCACAAAACTCTGACCAACCAAATCATAGTATCCAAGAAGGGAACGGAGGGACCCTGGGGATCATCCAGGGTGACACACCTGAGGTCCAGCAGGGTGACAGGCTTCTAGCAAGCTGTGCACAGCCCAGGCCTACTGACCCCTTGTGTCGTGCTCATTGCTTTCCACCAGAGCATTTCCTCACTGCCCACCCATCCTCCCTTTCAAGGCTGGACCACAGGCTCAGCTTGGTTTACCTCAACTTAGCTTCCTGAGGACCTGTCAGAGATAAAGGGTGCTCTTAGAGACTTCAGAACTCTCCTGTTACAGTCTTGACCTACTTACCTCTGAGAGTGTTTCATCCTTCACTCAACTGCAATTAGGAAGAGTCAAGTTCCCTTTGGTGCCTAAAGGAGAACAACGGCCGGCAATCCCAGGAATCTGATCACAGAGAAAAGGGCTCAGAGTGCAGCATAAATCAGTGAGGATGTTGTCATGAAATCTCTGAAGAGGCTTCTTAGAAACATGCAGTGATAGCTGCAGGCCCTGGAGTCCTCAGATGAAATAGGGCAAACCCCTGCATTGCTTTTGACTAGTACAAGTCAATGAACAAATGACTCGCCTGTCATCAAATCATGAGTGCTGCTAACTGGCAGTGGTCCCCCTGCAAACTGGGAACTCGGCAAGCATTGCTGCTTTAATTGCATAGCACACACCTGCCCTCACACCCACTCTTCACACCTGTGATAGTCACAGCCCCTGGATGGCAGGAGAGAGCCTGACCCTCATTCTGAGGTTGGCTTTGTGGCCGAGGGCTATTCTTGCTGTTGGCTTAAGGTCTCCCTCTTAGTTTATGAACCAGACTGCTCTGCCAGTATGCGTTGTCTACTAACAAGACCACAAAGCCCGCCTTGCCTGTGGTAACCAAGCCCTTCTGCGAATAACCACTCTGCTCTGTGTGGGGATGGGAGGGGCCCTTGTGTCCAAGTGTCAAGTGAGTAGTGCAAGCAGAGGGTGCAGGGGAGTTGACTGCTGTTCCTGCCTTTGTGTCATTTTGCAGGGGGACCAGACCGCCTTGCACCGGGCCACAGTGGTCGGGAACACAGAGATCATCGCGGCACTCATCCACGAGGGGTGTGCCCTGGACAGACAAGACAAGGTGAGTGGACACTGAGCTTGCTTACTCCTCAAGGCGAGGGAAGCTAGTGGCTCGAGGGAGCTGGAGGAGCCCACTCTGGAAACTTTTGAGTCCTCAAGATATTATCATTCCTGTCTTACCACTTATGATTTAACATGATTAAATCGGCCCAAAATTCCTTTGAAACAGTATCCCAGCCAATTGTAATTTTTTTTTTTTTTTTGAGAGAGGGTCTCACTCTGTTGCCCAGACTGGAGTGCAATGGCATGATCATAGCTCACTTCACCTGGAACTTCTGGGCTGAAGCGCTCCTCCCACCTCGTCCTCCCAAAGTGCTGGCATGAGCTACTGTGCCCAGCTGCCAATTGTATTTTTTTAAAATCTTTTTCCTTGTTCCATGGCATCAGTGACAACCACATAAATCTTAAATGGTAAAGAAAAAAATATAGAAATAAGGACCTGTGTAGGCCTGGGTGGGGGTGGGGGCAAGGGATGTACCCCCAGACTTCCTCTTTACTTTCTTAAATAAGTGAGCAAGTTAGTTTCTTTAAACTGTATTGCAGGAAAAAAAGTAAGCTCAATTGGGCCAAACGCAGTGGCTCATGGCTGTAATCCCAGCACTTTAGGAGGCTAAGGTGGGAGGATTGCTTGAGGCCAGGACTTCAAGACCAGCCTAGTCAACATAACCACTGTCTCCACAAATAATTTGAAAATTAAAAATATATATATTAGCAAGGCGTGGTAGTGCACACCTGTAGTCCCAGCTACTCAGGAAGCTGAGATGGGAGGATTGCTGAGCCCAGGAGGTTGAAACTGCAGTGAGCCATGATCACGTTACTGCATTCCAGCCTGGACGACAGAGTGAGACCTTGTCTCTAAATAAATAAATAAGATCGATAGCAAAATTGGCCAGATGCAGTGACTCACGCCTGTAATCCCAGCACTTTGGGAGGCCAAGGCAGGCAGATCACCTGAGGTCAGGAGTTCGAGAACAGCCTGGCTAACATGGTGAAACCCCGTTTCTACTAAAAATACAAAAAATTAGCCAGGCGTGGTGGCGCACACCTGTAAACCCAGCTAATTGGGAGGCTGAGGCAGGAGAATCACTCGAATCCAGGAGGCAGAGGTTGCAGTGAGCCAAGATCGCGCCATTGCACTCCAGCTTGGGCAACAAGAGGGAAACTCCGTCTCAAAAAAAAAAAAAAAAAGCAAAATTGATTCTTTAAGGAATCCTAATGACTTCTTACATATTAACCTAATGTTTTTAAATTTTCCAACAATCTTAAAACACAAAACTTCACAATTAAGTGCAATTCAGCCTCTGCTTACCTTTTTTTTTTTTTTTTTAAGAGGCCATGCTGGGAAGAACTCTGCTTTACTTTTTAAAAATAACTTTTCATTAAAGTATAATATACATACAGAAAAGTGGACAAATAAGTGTGCAGCTTGTTGAATTTCACTAGCAGAACACACCTGTGTGAACACCCAGCTCGCGAATCAACTCATTGCCAGCACCCAGAAGCCCCATACCCTGTGCCCCCTGCCCCCTGCATCCCCCCTTTCCCCTGCGTCCCCCTTTCCTTTGGCTTCCTCCTTCTACAGTCAGTCCCACTGCCAATCCAGTCAATCCACACATCGCCAATACAGTTCCCAGCAACCACCCCATCCCCTGGCCGTTGAGACCCTAGACTTTCCCTTGTGGATGTCACCTGTGTTAGGCCTTTATTTTTAGCTATTTCCAGGGGCATGGATGTGGTTGAGTTAAAGCTGAAGCCAGAGCCTGGATGTAATTGGAGAATGCACCTGCGCTGAGCCCTGCTGACTGCCCTGCAGCTTTCCCTCTCCAGGCTCCTCCCTCCCTGGAACTCCTGCCTTCCCGCCCCCACCCCACTCAATTCATTGCACTTAATGATATTTGTTTAAAATAGTAAGCTAAGCAAATATGAGCTATGTCCATTAAATGATTTTTATGTAAAAGGCACACATTAGGCCAGGCGCAGTGGCTCACACCTGTAATCCCAGCACTGTGGGAAGCCAAGTGGATCACTTGAGGTCAGGAGTTCAAGACCAGCCCAGCCAACATGGTAAAACCCTGTCTCTACTAGAAAATATAAAAATTAGCAAGGCTTAGTGGTGCATGCCTGTAATTCCAGCTACTTGGGAGGCTAAGGCAGGAGAATCACTTGAACTCCAGAGGCAGAGGTGGCAGTGAGCCAAGATCGCACCACTGCACTCCACTCTAGGTGACAGAACGAGACTGTCTCAAAAAATCAAAGCCACACATTGAGGATACTTGTTTATTTCCAAATCACTGTTTCCTCAGTCCCTGTGCATTATTCGTTTGGGGCCCTGAGGCTTTTGAATTAAGGTGGGTGAGATTAAGTTTCAGTGAAAAAAGATTGGGCAATCTATCAGGCCCCTGCATCTTATGAAGCTGAGCTCTTCCTTTGCCTGACCTTTGCAGGGTGCTCTCTGATGCCAGGAGCAGAGCAGACTCTAAGGGTGGTAGAGGTGGGAAGAAATAGATGGCATGCCATCCTGATGATGCTTTCTGTTAAACGAGAGCTATGGATGGGGCCTGGAGCCTTTCTCAACTGGGATTATTAGAGAGACTTAACCCCTAATGCTTTATAAACAATCATCCATGGTTTGTCATGGATTCATTTCTCTTCTGTGCATCTAGAATGGTTCTTATTATGTATCATTTCTAGGATAATGGAGAAACTGACCATTCAAATCATCATCTGTAGTCTGTGGCTCAGATGAAAAAGTCCAATTGAGAAAGGCCCTCTGGTGTTCCGTAAAAATCCACTGTGATGTATTGATCATAATGAGAAGAATTAGGTCTTGGGTAATGTGCCTTTCCCACCTGTGTGTCTTCCTTAGGATGGGAATACAGCCTTGCATGAAGCATCCTGGCATGGTTTCAGCCAGTCAGCCAAGCTGCTTGTTAAAGCAGGAGCCAACGTGCTTGCCAAGAACAAGGTGAGGCCTGGCAGGTGCTAGAATGCCTTATTCACAGGTGAGGATAGCTGTGGGTTTCTCCCCCTGTGAGAGCCTTCTTCCAGTGAGAAGAGTGAGAGCCCAAAGGGGCACGAGGAACCTGAAGGTCCATTCCACCCAGAAGTTTCATTTACAGAAAAGGCTAGAAGCTGATTGATATTCCAGGTCAGGAGCAAGCCCACCAACAACACCAAAACCCTGCTCATGTGAGAGTCCCCTGACGGCTGCTGGGAATCTACATGCGATTACTGTCCCATATTTTTTTTGTATTCAAAAAATACAGCAATGGTGTTGGCATTAAAAAATACCAGCAAAAGAACTTTAAAATGCTAATACTCAAAATTAGTAAAGTGGGCTCCCCTAGATGCTGCTTGGAAAGTGTGATATGAGCAGCCATCTTTGGGAGACAATTTGCCAAAACAAATCAGGAGCCTTAAAAATGGTCCTTTTTTGGCCGAGCATGGTGGTTCATGCCTGTAATCACAGCACTTTGGGTGGATCACCTGAGATCAAGAGTTTGAGACCAGCCTGGCCAACATGGTGAAACCCCATCTCTAATAAAAATACAACACTTATCCGGGAATGGTGGCTCATGTCTGTAGTCCCAGCCACTTGGGAGGCTGAGGCAGGAGAATCGCTTGAACCCAGGAGGTGGAGGTTACAGTGACCCGAGATCGCACCACTGCACTACAGCCTGGGCACAGAGTGAGAGACTGTCGCAGGGAGGGTGGGGGTGGGGGGAGGTCCTTTTTTGGCCAGGTGCAGTGGCTTATACCTGTAATCCCAAACTTTTAGGAGGCTGAGGCAGGCGGATCACTTGAGATCAGGCATTCAAGACCAGCCTGGCCAACGTGGTAAAACCCCGTTTCTATTAATAATACAAAAAATTAGCTGGGTGTGGTGGTACATGCCTGTCATCCCAGCTACTTGGGAGGCTGAGACACAAGAATCACTTGAACCTGGTAGGTGGAGGTTGCAGTGAGCTGAGATCGTGCCACTGTACTCCAGTTTGGGTGACAGAGTGAGACTCTGTCTCAAAAAAAAAAAAAAAGGTCCTTTTTACTTGATACCTACCCTTCTTGGACTCCATCCTAAAAAGGTAATAAAACCTGCTATTGAAATGAAATATGGAAAATAAAAAGCAATAAAACCAGTAAAATTTTACCGACAAAGATGTTCATGATAGCAGTAGTTATATTTTTTAAATATGGGGAGGGAGACTTAGAATTGTGGTTCATTCATACAGTGGAATATAATTAATATTAAATTCATAGTTTTGAAGATAATGCTTTCCATTGTTAAAGAACATGACAAAGAGATATAAGATCATATATAGTACATGTCCCAGTGCTTAATATAAATTTGTGGATTTAAAAATTTAAGCACAGAAGGATATCATCAGAATATTAACAGTGGTTGTCTCTGGGAATTGAGGCTAAGATTGATTTTAATTTTTGTTCCTTTCCCAAATTTTCCAAAATGAACCTATTATTTCTCTTACAATTGGGAGAAGAGACTTTCTTTCTTTTTTTTTGTTTTTGAGACAAAAATCTCACTCTGTCACCCAGGCTGGAGTGCAATGGCGCAGTCTCGGCTTATTGCAACCTCCGCTTCCTGAGCCTGAGTTCAAGTGATTCTCCTGCCTCAGCCTCTTGAGTAGCTGGGATTATAGGCATGTGTCACCACGCCCAGTTAATTTTTGTATTTTTAGTAGAGACAGGTTTTCACCACGTTGGCCAGGCTGGTCTCGAACTCTTGACCTCATGATCAGCTTGCCTCGGCCTCCCAAAGTGCTGGGATTACAGGCATGAGCCACCGTGCCCGTACCAAGAGATATATTTTATTTCAAAAATAAGCATTGTCAGTACTCTGGAGATATTTGCAGTTGAGGTAAGAAGGGTCATAAAAGGCGCCCTAGGGGAGAGGCGCCAGGAGGAGCTCCAGAGGTGGGCTGGGAGAGGCTTATAGACAGTTTCGGGCAGGAGCTTTATGGGAAGGTCGCTGAGCAGAGGAAGAGCTCTGGATGGCCAGGTTGGGTCTGTAGCAGGGGTTTAAAGGGGCCTGAGAATTTCCCAGAATACACTGCCACATCACAGGGTGGCCCCTTCAGCTAATAGTGGTGGGATAATGAATCAGGTGAGCTAGAATGGGGTTCTGGGTGGCAGTAGCCTGGGGACCATGGGCAGCAGTAAGTACCCTCCCTAATACACACACATACACACTATATATATGTGTGTGTGTGTGTGTGTATATATGTACACACATTATACACACACACAATTTCATGGTCAAGTCAAATCTGAAACCATAGTATCTCTAGTTTATGACACACACACATCTACATACAAGATCTTCAACAGCAATGCCAGGCAAATCAACCTTTAGAAATATACCCCGTCAATGAAGTGACTTCTCCAGACCTTGCATGCTGCAGGAAATAGAAATGATAGCCTGAAACTCCTTTGTGAATATAATCTCTGTGGGAGCAAGAGAACCCACCTCAGTGGCTTTGCCCTCCGGTGAAATCTCCTGGCTCTCACTACCTTTCCGTTGGTTTATTAGCGAGCATAGTTAAGCAAGCCATGCCTTCCTCATTTTCATCCATCTCCCCTCTCCAGTCCCTCATCACATCTTAGGACATCTTCAAGTCTCACGCCTGTTCCTCTTTCCATGCTCATTCTTAAGCATTCCCTGGATCATTTCAGAAGCCTCAAGCAGATTGGCAGGTTCAAGTCTAGTCCCTCCTTTCATCCTGGTCTTCCTCTGCTCAGCGACCTTCCCATAAAGCTCCTGCCTGAAACTGTCTATAAGCCTCTCCCAGCCCACCTCTGGAGCTCCTCCTGGCTCCTTTCCCCTAGAGCGCCTCCTGTGCCCTCAGAGTGGGACTCCTTGGCCTGCTTCTCATTCCTGCCTGTAGACCTCCAACCTGGCCCCAGGCCCCCTCCCTCCCCGAAGACCCGCCGGGCTGCTTCTGCAGCTCTCCCTTGGCACCACATGCAGCTTTGTGCTGTTGTTTCCTGGTTCATGTTTTTCATGGTTCCTTCATGGATCAAGAGCTTGAGGGAGAGCAGCAAGCTACGTACAGTAATATCGCTGGTAGTGCCTCGCTTACTGCTCAGGAGGTGGGTGGCTGCCCATTTCTTCAAAATGCACGTGGTCTGGAACAGGAGTTGATAGTGTGTAATCACCTTTTTTCTTTTCTTTTTTGAGACAAGAGCTTCACTTTTGTCACCCAGGCTGGAGGCTGGAGTGCAATGGCTCTATCTCGGCTCACTGCAACCTCCACCTCCCGGGTTCAAGCAATTCTCCTGCCTCAACCTCCCGAGTAGCTGGGATTACAGGCACCTGCCGTCATGCTCAGCTAATTTTTGTATTTTTAGTAGAGAAAAGTTTTCACCATGTTGGCCAGACTGGTTTTGAAATCCTGACCTCAGGTGATCCACTCACCTCAGCCTCCCAAAGTGATAGGATTACAGGAGTGAGCCACCGATCCCAGTCTGTAATCATGTTTTTTGGTTTTTTTTTTTTTTTTTTTTGAGACAGTCTCGCTCTGTTGCCAAGCTGGAGTGCGATCTCAGCTCACTGCAGCCTCTGCCTCCCGGGTTCAAGCTATTCCCCTGCCTCAGCCTCCCGAGTAGCTGAGACTGCAGGCACGCACCACCATGCCCAGCTAATTTTTGTATTTTTAATAGAGACGAGGTTTCACCATCTTGGCCAGGATGGTCTTGATCTCTTGAACTCGTGATCCACACACCTCAGCCTTCCAAGGTAATGGATTACAGGCGTGAACCACTGCACCTGACCCGCAAATTCTTTCTGTGTAGATAAAATGGCTTCAGAAGGACAGGTCAGGAAACTCATATGTCCCAGAGGGAGGGACATTTTGTACCAGCCGTAGCTTGTAGAAAGATCCTTCTTATTCAACAAATACAGCAACTCCTGTCTGGGAAATCAGTACCCACTACTCAGGGTGGGGAAAAACACCTACTACATAGGTATCTACCCTAGGTCACATTTTCTAATGTCAGGTTTTGACATATAGGTATGAAGTCATGCTGTTCTATGAGTTTTGACAAATGTACACAGTTGTATCACGACCACCATAACATATAGAATGCTTCCATTGCCCCAGAAAGTTCCTTTGCGCCCTCTGGTGGCAGGCCCCCAGTCACCCTCTCCCAGCCCCGGGCAACCACGGATCTGTTTTGCTTTTTCACAAAGGTCATATAAATGGAATCATACAGTATGCGGCCTTCTGTGTTTGGCTTCTTAAACTCAGCGTAATGTTTTTGAGATTCTTCCGTGTCATTACATGGAGGAATGGTTCACGCCTCTTTATTGCTGAGGAGTATTCCATTGTGTGGATCTACCACAATTTGTTTATCCAAACCTATGGTTTTTAATTTTCTTGATGCAAATATTTTTCCACATCATTAATATTTCCTTATTGGCAATGTAAGCTTTGGTATGATCTATTTCTAGAGGCCTCAGATTTCTTTCATTTCACTCATTTATTCAGCACGTATTTAATGGTTGCCATGAAGCCCATAACTTGCAGACAACTTGAGAGTAGGGTTTTTAAAACCTGGGCAGACCCCTTGTTGCTGAGAACTCAGCTAGCAGTGGTTCTCCACCTGGCTGCATGTTAGACCCTCCTGGGGAACTGTAAACAAACAAAAAAGAAAAAAAACTCAAAACCCTGAAGACCAGTCCTGGGCTGACAGACTGTCCCAGTTTGCCCTGGGCTAAAGGGTTTCCCAGAATGTGGGACTTTAAGTACTAAAATGGGGATGCTAGACACCCACCCCCAAGGCCACGTATATCAGAGTCTCTAGAATGGTTGTGGCTGTGCGCAGGGCTGGTTTGAAAGCTTCCCCAGGTGATTCTATTGTGCAGTCAAGGTTGAGAACCAGGGAGCTTGCTAGAACCTCGGGCCTATCATCCTCCCTGTGCCTGGAGGTAAAAGTCAGACAAAAGGTCCACCCAGGCTGGTTGGAGCTAAGGTAAAGAGAAGGGGGATAAGTAAACTGGCCGTATCCAGTATTCCTCTATTTTTTTTTTTTTTTAACTCATTTCTCTTTTTAAAAGATTGGGAATCTAATATCCTGGAGTATCGGCGGCCAGTACTGTGAGATGCAGAGGGGAGTGAACTGGGTGAGGGAGAAGCAATGAGCAGGCAGTGTAATGCTCTGAGCCCATGTGCCTGCAAGCCTGACCCAGCACTTAAGCTCAGCAGAACCAACACAGAGCTTCTGTGTTTAACCTCCTGAGTGCTTGCAAGCTCTTGGATGACACAATGTCACCTGTCACACAGCCTTGTTTTCTTGTTACTTTTCCAGGGATTATCAGCAGCCTCAGGTGCCTTACTCCCATAGGCTCAAAAGTTCTGTTCATGTCCTGCAATTTTTTCCTGCAGTATTGCTATGGACCTTATTCTGACCCTTGGTTGTCATTGTGATGTGGTGTGTTGAGGCTCTCAAAAACAAGAGGGACCCAAAAAGCAAGAGGGTCTCAATCTGTGTCCTAAGTGATAGATGCAACTGTACTGCCTGAAAGGCGGGGCCTGCTGTCCGTAGTTAAAATTTTGATGTTTCAAGAAAAAGACAAGAATGGGTGACTTGAAAAAGGCTTACAAGTTAAATCTCAGTTGTGTTAGCCTGCCCTTCCAGGAAGTGGCTAGTTTTACCTTTCTTAGCCCACCATTGGCAGGGATTATAACCACAGCTATTTCTCGTGTGGGGCAGGAAGTCATCTGACAGGAATTGTGTGCTGTGCATGTTTCCAGCATTGCATGTTAGGAAAACGCCTTCCTAGACACTCTGAGTCAGTCCCCATAGTTTTAGGATGTGGGTCATGCTTCATTTCCCAGGTAAGGGATTTGAGCATTTGAAGAGACCGGCTTTTAACTAGTAAGTGGCAGAGCCAGGACTTGGAACCAAGGTTTTATGACAAATAGGACTCTTCTGCCCGTTTGGACTCCAAATTAAATGTTCTTACCTCTGAAGCATCCCCACCGAAACCATCGGGCAAGAGGCAGAGAATGTGAGTGTTGTCTTTTCCCCCAAATAAGTACTGCCCCTCTGCAAAGCATGGAAGTGTGTTGCTAATATGTCCTCCCTCTCTCTGCCTCTCTCCAAGGCGGGGAACACGGCTCTGCACCTGGCCTGCCAGAACAGCCACTCCCAGAGCACGCGCGTCCTCCTGCTGGCCGGGTCCCGCGCTGACCTCAAAAATAATGTGGGTGAACAAAACCAGATTCTCTTTCTTGTGTCACTTCAGAAAATAACTTCATGAGCATACTTGAACCTTAACATCTAGAAATTAAAATGTAAGAAGTATTTGGGGACTATCTCTAAAGTGTTCTTTTTTTGGCAATTTTCTAAGGGGTCATTCAGGCACATGAGAGGAGGAATCAAAAGACTTGGAAATACTGCTTTTCTCCCATCCTTTTCCCTTCATGCCTCATCTTTGGTTTATCATTTCTTACAGCACGTGTCTGGCCAATTACAGACTAGGAAACCAGTTAATGTTTTAAGAACGTCTCTACCCACATAGAGTGTTGTACTATTATCAGCAAAGATGAGCTGGTGCCATTTACAGGGGAGGTCCTCTGATGCCCCATGCCCAGAATCTACAGTGAGCAGGTCCTATTGATTACCAAGGCGTCCTTGGGATGAGCTGACTGGAAGGGTCACATGGGTATCGCTTCTTCACAAAGAAGCTGTATTTCCTTTATAAATCCCCTGCGTTAGCCACGTTGGCTAAATAAATAAATAAATAAATAAATAAATAAATAAATAAATCTGAGGCTTCTTTCTAAAGTGTCCTCAGCTGAGGGTCTCCCTGTTTGGGGTAGAGTCATCTAATGCTCTGAACCTCAGCTTTGAGCTTGGTTCCGTCTTAATGCAGGGGAGAAAAGTATGCCGAGTGGCCAGCGTTCTCCAGACAGAGCTAGAATGGAAACGGCAAGAGAACACTGCAGGCAGCTTTGTGTCTCTAGTTCTTTGTCTTTCTGGAAACAGGGTTCTGCCTGTTGTGCTTACTGAGCATCCTGCCCCTGAGTTTTTCTTCATACCCTTTTTTTGCTCCCAGTGATTGCTTCCTTATCAACTCCCCTACTACATAGCTCCATATAGGATATTGGGGTCCAACTGAAGTGGGATACTCCTTGAACTTCAGGGGGCACATGTGATCTTAAGATTTGACAAACCCCTGCTGCCCTGTCCTTTCATCTGTGAGGGATCTGTGCTGGGAGGGGCTATTTGTCTTAAGTCAGTGTGCTACCGACCTTTTGGGTTGTAGGGAGTAGGGTCCCTGGATCCTCCTCAAGCACTGGGTAAGCAAAGCCTCCCTTAGCTCTTGCGAAGGTCTCATGGGGAGCAGATGTCTAGTTTCATAAACATGAAAGCAGTGATTCCGTGACCACGTGGTGGTTCTGCACAGGCAGAACGGGGGCGGGGCTGCCCATAGCAGCAAAGGATGGCGAGCCTTGGGATGGAGTGTCTGTTAAAAGAGCTGCTTATGATCCCCTAAAGAGCATATGACAGTCTGCCAGCTTTTAAATAGCATTTTCTTTCTACTTGTCTCTATTTTGTTTTGTAACTGCTCAGATTGTGCTTAGAGTTTGATTTTTGTCCGCAGGCAGGAGACACCTGTTTGCACGTTGCTGCGCGCTATAATCACTTGTCCATCATTAGGCTCCTCCTCAGTGCTTTCTGTTCTGTCCATGAAAAGAACCAGGTCAGTGCATGTATCCTCTTCATGGCTGCCAGCACCCTTCCCACAAGGCTACCGGACAGGTGTGTTAGTGCAAACGGGAGCAGAGGCTGCGCGGGGAAGTGCTGCCATGTCACCTGTCTGGGACTCAGCCAGCAATGGGCTTTGCATGGGTGTCCCACTGAGTTCTAGTGGCCCTGGCTTATCTGGCCTCCTAGAGAAAGTGTGCCCTTATAATTCCTGTGTATATCACCACATTTGCATATTGAACATTTTCTGGAGATCCTGGGGCAGGCTTTGTTTTATAATATAATTTTAAAAAGAAAACCCACAAGAAAGAATGTGATTTAGTAAGGAAGCAAGGGAGGCCGGGTGCAGTGGCTCACATCCCAGTACTTTGGGAAGCCAAGGCAGGAGGATCACTTGAGGCTAGGAGTTCAAGACCAGCCTGGGCAACATAGCAAGACCCTGTCTCTACAAAAAAAATTTTAAAAAATGTGGCCAGCCATGGTAGCTCATGCCTGTAATCCTAGCACTTTGAGAGGCCAAGGTGGGCAGATCACTTCGAGCTCAGGAGTTTAAGACTGGCCTGGCCAACATGGTGAAACCCTGTCTCTACCAAAAATACAAAAATTAGCCGGGCGTGGTAGTGTGCACCTGTAATCCCAGCTACTCAGGAAACTGAGGCAGGAGAATTACCTGAACCCAGGAAGCAGAGGTTGCAGTGAGCCAAGATCATGCCATTGTACTACAACCTGGGCAATAGAGCAAGACTCTGTCTCAAAACAAATAAATAATAAGTTAATTAATTTAAAAAATAAAAATTAGGCAGAGTGGCACGTGCCTGTAGTCCCAGCTACTCAGGAGGCTGAGGCGGGAGGATCGTTTGAGCCCAGGAGTTTGAAGCTGTGGTAAGCCATGATCTTGTCACTGCACACCAGTCTGGGCAACAGAAAGACCCCGTCTCTTTAAAGGAAAAAAAAAAAAAAAACCACCAAGCAAGCATAGGAATTAGAAGTCTTAGGACTCCCTGAGTTCTGTTCCTTGCACTGCCACTTACTTACACTTGAGCTGATAGTCTTTCATTTCCATAAAATTGGGCACATAATCTGTAGAGAGTGCCGTGTTTTGAAATAAAGCTGTGAATATTATCGTCTTCCTTGGAAATGTGCACAATTTCCAGCAGTCATTGGATTTGAAAAATAGATTGTCTTGGTATTTATTGATACCTGTGGGTACGTTGTTTGGCTTTTCTTTGTTGGAGTGCATAAACCTGAACTAAAAAAAAAATTAGATTGTGGTATAGATTAAACATACCATGTAACAGTGGTTTCTGACCCCGGCTGCATATGAGACTCAACAGGGGAATTAAAAATACTATTCCTGGATCCCACCCCATTTGAAGGAGCCAGAACCTTTGGGGATGAGGTCCAGGCAATGGTATTTTTAAAAAGCTCTCTGTCTCAGTGTACAGCCAGGATTGAGAACCACTGACCTAGTCAAGTAGCTAAGTCTGTCATTCCACAGCCTCCCTAGTGGGGTGCTAGGTCATCAGATGACCCTGCATAGCCCCAACCAACCAGTGCCTTTCAACCTTGGCAGCATGTCACAGCACCTGAGAGCTTTAAAAAGTCCCCCTGCCCAGCCCACATGGCAGACCAGTGAATTCAGAATATCTGGGAGTGGGACCCAGACATCAGCATTTTTTAACACTCTGAAGCTTATTCCAATATTCAGCCAAGGGAAAAGCACTGTGCAGAGCTTCCCTTCAATACACACAGCTAAGTGACTCAGAAATGAAATAAAAATTTTCCTACCCCTCACAAAGATGGCTGAATTTTCATGCTACCCAGGAAAAAAGTATCAGGCGCTTTGCCTGATCACCTGATAGGAGAAAGAATGAATTGTTTCACTTTTCCTATATTTGTCTGGTTTATTTATATCATTGGGTTTGGAAATGACAGCATTTGCATTTGGAATTGGCCCACTAAGCTACAGTTGTCTTTATCCTCCCTTCATAGTTGATTTTGTGAAAGCATATTTCTTGTGTAAAGATAATGTGAACATTTATTTATAGGCTGTCTATAAGATGAAGAAAACAGTTGGTCTTGAGTGAACACTGGTTCTTGGTGTTTCCACCCGCACAAAGCTATATCCTAGCCTGCAGATGGATTGAGTCCCAGTGACCCCTTCAGATCTTCCCGCTGTAGCTGCAGGCCGACCTGTCACCTCTCCAGTGCTTGCAGAAGTAGCTGTCTTCACAGCTTCTCCTGCTCAATCCGGCACTTGGACACCAAGCAGTTTTCTGACCTCTGACCTCCCTGGGTAAAGGAACAGGGTCAAAAGTGGAATGACTAGCCTGCCTGCCCCAGGCCTGTCCTCCTGTCTTTGTGAGGCTTCAGGTCCCATCATTCTTAACAACCCCAGGCCAGCATTCCTTTGCCCCTGCATTTAATCCTGTTGTGTGATTTCAGGTGTCCCCACTCAGAAATAAAGGTGATATTGGTGCCGAGGTCACTTAGTTCCAAGATCTCTTTGAGTAGAGCCTCATAATGCTTTAACAAAGGGCCCCGTTTCAGTCTCAGGCAAATCTCAGTTTGACTTTGAAGAGCCACACCTAGGCCAGGTAATGAAAAGCTGGGGGCTGTAGGCCATGAGCAGATGAGGTTTAGCAGGCCTTCTAATCAATTCCAGGCTGGAGACACAGCACTTCACATTGCTGCTGCCCTAAATCACAAGAAGGTGGCCAAAATCTTACTGGAAGCCGGAGCAGATACGACCATTGTTAACAATGTAAGTTGAGTTGCAACACTGCTATCTAAAGTGGTTCCCACCCCTTTCCAGATTGGGATGTGTACTAAACCCCTGCAGACCCCCAGCCCAGCACACTCTGGAAGAGGGGGGATCTCTCCTGGAACCACAGCCCCTGGGGCCATTGGGGAAGAGGGGGGATCTCTCCTGGAACCACAGCCCCTGGGGCCATTGGGGTGGACTTCAAGGGGACCCGGGCTCTGAACAGTGCCAGGAATTGACAAGCCTTGGGGCCTGCTTTTAGCTTCCTAACTGCAGTGAGCACCACCTGGCATGAAAAAGAACTCAGGGATGTTCAGGTAAACTGACAAGTGGATGTTACAAAGTGAGTTCCAGGCTGTAAATGCATGTGGTGCTCAGAAAAATGGCCACAAGACCCTCAGGTTAATCAGCTTCAAAATTCTAAAGCAACTCCTTTCTCTTCCACTTTGCCTGACCTCACTGTTTCCCTTTGCCCCTCCCCCTCTCACTGTGTGTCCTGCAGATCCTAGAGCAGGCACCAGCTCAGATGTGCTTTCTTCTTCGAGGCTGCCCTGAGGTCTCTGTCCTTCCGAATGGTTCAGCAGGGCCTAGAGGGTGCAACAGCTGCTGTGTGTAGGTTTTTTTGAGGGGTGTGGTCTGGAACTGCTGAAGCTGGCACAAGGCTCTTCAGCTTGCTTGGCTCCTGTATCTAGCTCCCGTCTTCCTCCTGCCTTCTCATAGCTCTACAACCAGTACTGGGGGCACAGTTACCTCTTCCGTGATGCCTTGAATATCTTCTTTTGCTGTCAACTCCTGGGTTTTGGCTTCATCTCCTGAGAACCTACATTGTGGCCATAACTCGTAACTGCTTTTCATATTCCACTTCCTGAATCTCTCTGGCCAGCCCTGATCTGCCCCTCCGGTGTCTTCCCACTGTTTTCCAGGGGAGATTCATCACTGGGCTGGGCCTCAGATCCTCTGTGGTGTTTGCCTAACAGAAACGTTCCCCCGGATGCTCCCTGAGTGCTCCCTTCCCTCCCCTCTTTTCCGGGAAGCACTCCTTGGTGGGTGGTGCCCAGGTCTTGGCCTCCTAAAGCGCTTCTTGCCCCCTCGGTCTTCCCTTGCCCTCTGGTGTCATATATTTTACTTAGTGTGTCCTCCCGTGTGACCCACCTCCCTCACTGGAGGGTCTGAGGCTGGTGACCAGGGCCACATCACATAGGTGGCCATGTTTTGCCACGTAGGTGCTGGGTGTCACTGGGCATGGAACTGCCTGCTCCTGGCCAGAGGTGTGCCAGCTGGGCGGTGTGGGTGCAGGATCAGCAGCCCTTTCTCACCTGTCCTACTCTGCCTCTCCTCAGGCAGGCCAGACTCCGCTGGAGACTGCCCGCTGCCACAATAACCCGGAAGTTGCTCTTCTCCTTACTAAAGCTCCCCAGGTAGGATTTACTGCCCTTTCCATGGTACTGATTATGTGGGGCTACAAAGTTGTTGGGACTCCTGGTTGCAATCTACTGAAGCCACTTCAAACAAACTTACATAGGGAATGTAACCCGGCAGTGGAGGTGTAGGCATCCATGGGGCCCAGGATGACGGGAGTCAAAGGCTTCAAGTCCAGCTCTTCACGCCTGGGCCGCCTCGTCTTCTCCCTGTGGCTGGATCATTGTCACAGCCAGCTGCCTGGGTCATAACTTCCCAGACACTCAGCCGAGGAAGAAGTTCCAGTGTAAGACATTGCAGGAGAGGGCCATGATTGCAGAGTTTAGGCCAAATGCCCATCCCTGAAGAAGTGGGACAGGGACTTTAAGAAGGGGCTTCCCCAAAGAAAGGCAGGAGGGAGGGGACCATTCTGGGCAGACAGTCGCCTGCCAGAGACAGTTAAGTACAGTCTAGTTTTCTTTCCTCTTTTACTGAATAATGTTATTTTGACCATCATTTAATTCTTTTTAAATGGTGGCTGATACTTTAGTTGATGTTGACATTATCTAAGTAACAATAAAGAAATTTAATAATAATTTACAAGCTATTCATAATTCTAGCCCCCCGAAACAACTGTTTTTGTTTCATCCACAAAATAGATGAAACAGACACATAATTGTTTTATAATTGTGCTTACAATGTATATACCCTTTTGTATTTCTTCCTTTTATCCTATTATAAAACAATGTTCTGCAGTCTTCATAATTATTCATTATAATGGAGGCATAATATTCTTTCTGTTGCTATTAATATTTTATTAAGCCATTTCCTTAATGATGGACATTTAGGTTGTTTCCAGATTGGCACTATTCTGTATTATATTATAGAAAACACTGATTGGCTTTCCATCTTATTCTGCAAGAAGAAGATGAAGTCTCAGGGAGTCAAAGGAAGATTTTGAACACTACCCTGCTGCAAAATAACCCAATACCAGCCCAGGGTTTGGGATGGCCTTTATTTCATCTAAGTTCTTAAAACATGCCTAATATAACTAGTAGTTTCTGGAAATGGTTAAGATTTGTATCTTTTGCAAAATTGATCACCCTCTTGTGCGTGGAGCTGGTCCTTCTCAGTGGTCTCTGAAAGGCCGCAGAGCTCCTGACAAAAGGAAGTCAGTAGGAAAAGCTACGGGGTTTCCACGTCTAGCAGCTTTTATCGTAAGTGGAATCACATCCATGAATCCTGATAGAAAAATGCTAGTCTCTCATGAATCTAAAAGTATGAAGTGCTGTATAAACGTCAGAACCCATCACATTTCTCTGGCAATTTCAGTATGTGGTAATTTAATGGACAACCAGCCCCACCCTCAGCCATACAAAGATCAAGTCTTATGGGGCTGGAGGGTTCCCTAGGCAGAGAAGGACTGACGGATCTTTAATCCACCTGTCATTTGTCTTCCAGAGCCCAAGGATCTTCACTTACAGGGAAAAGAGCCTTACCGTGGACCATTTCCCTGTGCAGTTCTTTTTTGTTTCCACTTAAAAAAAGACTTAAGCAAGTTTCTCCATGCTTACATCGAATAACAAATAAATTGGATGACATGCTATGAAAGTTTTTTTTTATGCATAATTGTATATACTGAGCCTTATTCTCAACACAAACAAGGAACTTTAGGCATAAGATGTTACGCATACTGTTCTCTTGATCTGTGGTTACAGAAATAGCATTAGTGTTTGCTTTGCCTGAAAAGAGAAATCCCCTTGCCTTAGGCCCATAGACGGACATGGATTTTAAATGGGCCACAGCAGTACTAAGAGGATACTATTTATTTATTTATTTGAGACAGAGTCTTGCTATGTCACTCAGGCTGGAGTGCAGTGGTGCAATCTCGGCTCACTGCAACCTCCATCTCTGGGGTTCAAGTGATTCTCCTGTCTCAACCTCCTGAGTAGCTGAGATTACAGGCATGTGCCACCACACCCAGCTGATTTTTATATTTTTAGTAGAGACGGGGTTTCACCATGTTGGCCAGGCTGGTCTCGAACTCCTGAGCTCAGGTGACCCACCCACCTTGGCCTCCCAAAGTGCTGAGATTACAGGCATGAGCCACTGCACCCAGCTATAGGATACTACTTTTGGAGACCTCACAGTCAATATTCCCTCATTTCTGTGGACTGGAAAAAATTAATGACATCCCATTTAGTAGATGGTCTGGTTTGCTGAGAAAGGCTGGAAGTCATGCAAAGTTATTTTCACTGACTAATAATGTGGTGAATGGAGGGAATTTTGCTGATTATAATTTTGAGTTTGGGTGACCTCTGAGTGTCACTTGTCATTTTGATTGGTGTGGTTTACAAATGCTCTGAAAGTAAATTTTAGGCTGATTCTGGTGCTGTATTAAGAGTCCATACATCAGGTGAGCGATGGGTATAGTCACTTTCTTTCATCATACTTGATTTCCTGGTGAATCTGAGTTTAGCTTTAGAAATGACTTGGGGAAGTGGTTCTTGGACTTCTTGGTCTAAGGACTCTTTTACATTTTTAACTATTATGGACCAGAGATTGAAGGTTTCCATCAACTCAAAGATCTGTACTCTGTTAAACACCCTCTGCCAGTTAAGCCACCTGAAGGCAGGGAGGGAAGCACCTGACAGTGACTGACAGTCCACTGTGTGCCAGCCATCTGTTTTTTCTTGGTGAATCCCAATGACTCCTCGTTTTTCTTTCTTTTTCTTTTTTAAAAATAAAGACGAGGCTGGGCGCGGTGGCTCACGCCTGTAGTCCCAGCACTTTGGGAGGCTGAGACAGGCAGATCATGAGGTCAGGAGATTGAGACCATCCTGGCTAATACGGTGAAACCCCATCTCTACTAAAAATACAAAATAAAATTAACCAGACGTGGTGGCAGGCGTCTGTAGTCCCAGCTACTCGGGAGGCCGAGGCAGGAGAATGGTGTGAACCCAGGAGGCGGAGCTTGCAGTGAGCCGAGATCACGCCACTGCACTCCAGCCTGGGAGACAGAGCAAGACTGTCTCAAAAAATAATAATAATAAAAATAAAGATGAGCTCTCGCTTTGTCTGCCAGGCTGGTCTTAAACTCCTCTCCTCAAGCAATCCTCCCACCTATGCCTCCCAGAGTGTTGGGCTTATAGGCGTGAGCCACTGCGCCTGACCCATTGTTACATTTGAGAAGACAGAGTGCAGACAGATCAAATCACTTGCCCAAAGACCCTACAGCCAGCGGCTACTGGCTTCAAACTGAGATCTGTTCTGACCCACAGACGTTTTCCTGTGTCCATTCTGTCACTCTGCACTATAAGAGGCAGAGTAAATGCTTCTTTTTGGGGAAGAGATCCCTGTCCCGCCGTGGTTGGTACTATGGCTCATAGATACACCTTAATAATAGTTTGAATCAAATTGATGTGACTTGGACACAGTTTGGCCAAGGGAACATCTGGGCTAGCTCAGGTCCAGTGTACCAAGATGGAGAGTGAGGCTGTGCCTCGCACGGGGCTGCTCTGCTGCGTCTCACAACTCCAGGAGACGCCATCCATATCCTAGTTTATGTGCATGGCACTCCCTGGAGCACAGCCTCTGTGCGTGGATTGGCAGTCCCGGCCCGGCATCAGTGTCTATAGATATTAGCATCATAGACTCTGAGCTTCTTGAGGTCAGGGATAATATCCTACCTGTCTCCGCGTCCCTGTAGTGCCCAGGACAAGACCTAGGAAGTTGGTAGGTGGTCAGAGGTGCTTGCTTGATGTGCGCACCTGCTCTCACCCTCTAGGCTGTAAATTCTGTTAGGTCAGAGCCCCGGTCCAAGGAGAATTCTCTCACACGGATGCTGCGCACACCAGTGGTTGTAACAATGCCGTTTGCCTCCTTCAGGTCTTGCGCTTCAGTCGTGGGCGAAGCCTGAGGAAAAAGAGAGAGAGGCTCAAGGAAGAGAGGAGAGCCCAGTCTGTGCCAAGAGATGAGGTGGCCCAAAGCAAGGTGGGGGGCAGTCCTCCCGCCATCCCCACATCCGCCTGTGCTCAGAGGGTGGGAAACTATCTCCCTGCTTCAGCCAGGTTCACCTGGTGGCTGCCAGGCCCTCTCTGCCTCTCCTCCTTGCTGGAGCTCTTCAAACTGTTGCCAGTCTTTTTCTCTTTGGCTTCACATCCTCCATTCCCCAAGGTTTCAGGCCATGTGCCTCCGTGTGCGCTGCCCATTACCCATCCAGTATGCATTGGGGGCACACTTACCAGCCCAGGTATCTGTGGCCTTTGCCCACGCCCTGTGGCTAGTACTGCTTCTCTAACACTGTGTCCAGATTGTGTAGGACAGTGGCTCTCAAAATGTGGTGTCCAGTGTGTCACCTGGGGCCTTATTAGAAATGATAATTCTTGGGCCTCACCTCAAACCCACGGGATCAGAAACTCGGGTGGGGCCCAGCAATCTGTGTTGGAACAAGCCCTCCAGGGCACTCTCATGTGGACTAACATTTGAGAGCCACTGGTATAGGCCACTTCCATTTAGGGAAAGGACCAAGGCTATGCTAGCCTGTATGGCTCCCTTATATGAATTAGAAAATATGCCCCCCAGGCAGACCCACCGTGCACAGGGCACGCATGGTGAGCAGAGCCTGAGCTGATTTCAACTCCTCTTGCCCCACATCTCCACCTCAGCTAGGTGCCCTTGTGCCTTGTAGCCCTGGAATAAACCATGCCTTTAAGTTCAATCAGGAGGAAGAAGCCTGGGATATAGAGACAGCTTTTGGCACAGAAAATGTTATCACCAAGTACTTGCTCTTCTATCTGCTATTTCAGAATCCTCTCATCAGTTTCCAGGGTTAAGGCATTGCAACTCTGATTAACTTCCTAGGTGTGAATTGTACATATTCAGTTGTGAACATTCTCACAAGGACCAGAAATATGATATTTTTTCATTTCAAAGGATTCTTACTCTTTGCCATGAATTTTGTTGGTGGGGTTGGAGGTGGTGGGTGGGGGGCGGTATCCAAGGTCAAAGAATGAGTGAGTTATGTTTTGTTGAAATGTAAACGACCAAAAATCTCGAATGTTGAGGTGTTTTGTGTCGGGTAGGTTCCTGGTGTTCTACAGCATCGAATTAGACCCAGGAATATATTTAGCTTAGGACCTAATAAATACAATAAAAGCCAAATTGTTCAACCAACCAGGAAAAGCATTCTATGTTAAGACCACCAAGCAGTGTTTCCTGTGTCTGAAATCTATGGCATCTGCAAAGGTTCCCGTGGGTCCCTTACTATATGGAATCTTGCAAAGAAAATTTGATCCTATTAGTGAAAAAGGCCAAGGCAGCAAACACAATAGGTCTCTGGGTTTTTTCCTACTGTAGGGCAGTGTCTCAGCAGGAGACACCCCCAGCAGTGAACAAGCTGTGGCCAGAAAAGAAGCCAGAGAAGAGTTCCTGTCAGCCTCCCCAGAACCCAGAGCAAAGGATGACAGGAGGAGAAAGTCAAGGCCCAAGGTCAGGAGACACAGAAAGCAGCCCAGGGGGTGGCTGGGAGGCAGGGTGGCACGGGTCCTGGCAGAGTGTCGTGCCCGTCAGCTAAAAAGTCCCCTCACTTGGCTGGCTGGTTTGGAGCCAGAGCACAGAAATTAAATCTGCCTAACATCAGACACAAGGTGAATGTGCTGATATATTTCTTTTGACATATGTGGCTTGGAGTAGAACACCATGAGGTGAAACAGTGGGGCTCTTTTCCCAAATGGGGTGACATGGGCGCCACTGACTGGTGTCAGTCTTGCAAAAGTCAAAGCATTCAGGGGTGTTGTCTCTTCCTCTCCCACAGGTATCAGCATTTTCTGACCCCACCCCACCAGCCGACCAACAGCCTGGACACCAGAAGAACCTGCATGCTCATAATCACCCTAAAAAGAGGAACAGGCATCGGTGTTCATCCCCGCCCCCACCCCATGAGTTCAGGGCATACCAGCTCTACACATTGTACCGGGGCAAGGATGGGAAAGTGATGCAGGTACCTGCTAAGCACTGTCAGGAGAAGGGAACATAGGCCTTCAGCAAGGGTTTTTGTTTAACGGCATTCCTGGGGGCTGATAGCCACTTTAGGCATTGACTTAGTTAAGCACAAGCTTTGAAGGTAAGCCAGATGGCCTTCCCACCTGCACGGTGCAGATCCACTCCTGCTGCTAAGGCCAAGGCAGACGGAGGTGTGTGTGTAGCTACAGAGCTTGCTGCACCATCCTCAGGTGACTAGGTATCTTGAGGCCCCAGGGTATATAAAAGCACCTGAGGAGAGGGACCGTATCTTACCCTCTGAATCTTCTTCCCCAAAGCTTCGCCTATAAGATATTTCAAAGTTACGACAAGGATGAGCCTATCTCTTCCATCATCTCTATCCTCTGGTATACTGCCTGGCACACGGTGGGTGCTCAAAACATACTTGTTGAAGGAATGAACTTTTTTGTTTCTCTCTTAGGCACCAATAAATGGTTGTCGATGTGAACCTCTAATCAACAAGCTGGAGAATCAGTTGGAGGCTACTGTGGAGGAGATAAAAGCAGAGCTGGGATCGGTTCAGGACAAAATGAATACAAAGCTGGGGCAGATGGAGAATAAGACCCAGCACCAAGTATGTCCTAAGGCCCAGCTTCCTAACTGCAAGGTGTTCTGGTGGAACATGAACTCAGGAGCCGACTTTGACTTTAGCACACCCTTCTACCCTGGGATGTCCAATGGGCTGTCAGGGAAGAGGCCTGCTTCTGCTTATGTGATTTTGTTAAAGCACATTTAGTTCAACTTTTTAAAGAACATGTTTAAATTGCCTCTTATTATAAAAATAAGATAGCCCCATTACAGAGCATTTTTAAAAATATGAAAATTAGGAAAATAAGTCACCTATAAGCCCACTGTGCCGAAAAGCACTATTAATATTTGGGTTTAAGCTGGGAATGATGGCTCACATCTGTCATGCCAGCACTTTGGGAAGCCAATGTGGGCAGGTCACTTGAGGTCAGGAGTTCGAAACCAGGCTGGCCAACATGGTGAAACCCTGCCTCTTCTAAAAATACAAAAATTGGCCTGGTGTGGTGGCTCACACCTGTAATCTCAGCTACTCGGGAGGCTGAGGCACAAGAATTGCTTTAGCCTGGGAGGTGGAGGTTGCAGTGAGCGGAGATCGTGCCACTGCACCCCAGCCTGGGCGACAGAGTAAGACTCTGTCTAGAAAAAAAAAAAAAAAAAAAATTGGGGTTTATCTTCTTTAAGTCTTTTTCTATGTCAGTCTTTCTATTTGTCAATTTTTGCTACACTCCTTTCCCACTACATATAAAATTAGAATAATTGTGTTTTTTTCTTTTCCCAACTTTTTATTTTAAAAGTTTTCAAACATACAGAAAAGTTCACAGAATAATGGAATGAATGCTTGCATATATTCCCTGCAGTCAGCCAGTTAATATGTTGCTATATTTGCCTTATCTCTCTGACACATATTTTTTTTAATTCTTGAACTATTTCAGATTTAGTTGCAGACTGTCCTGACGGGGCATCTCTAAATATTTCAGAATGTTTAGAATAAGAATAACACTTTCAACTTCATAACAATATTGCTTTCACACCTGAGAAAATGTTATCCAGTCCATATTCAGATTTTCTCGGTTTTCCTAAAATAGCATTTATTACAGCTGTTTTTTTTTTTTCTTTTTTGAGATGGTGTCTGCCTCCATCACCCAGGCTAGAGTGCAGTGTGGCAATCTCAGCTCACTACAGCCTCTACCTTGTGGGTTCAAGTGATTCTACCACCTCAGCCTGCTGAGTAGCTGGGACTAAGGCGGACACCACCATGGCCACCTAATTTTTGTTATTTTCTTGGTAGAGACGGGGTTTCACCATGTTGGCTAGGCCGGTGTCAAACTCCTGGGCTCCAGCGACCCGCCTACCTCGGCCTCCCGAAGTGCTGGGATTTTAGGTGTGATCCCCATGCCCTGCCTTTTTTTTTTTTTTTTTTTTTTAAGTTTTTGCCAAATTGATTAAGGACATCTTACTGTTTAAGTTTTATTTCCCTGTTTACTGGTAAGATTAAACATTTTTTTTTTTTTTTTTAGGCGGAGTCTGGCTCTCTTGCCTAGGCTGGAGTGCAGTGGCCGGATCTCAGCTCACTGCAAGCTCCGCCTCCTGGGTTTACGCCATTCTCCTGCCTCAGCCTCCCGAGTAGCTGGGACTACAGGCGCCCGCCACCTCGCCCAGCTAGTTTTTTGTATTTTTTAGTAGAGACGGGATTTCACCGTGTTAGCCAGGATGGTCTCGATCTCCTGACCTTGTGATCCGCCCATCTCGGCCTCCCAAAGTGCTGGGATTACAGGCTTGAGCCACCGCGCCCGGCCAAGATTAAACATTTTTAAGGCTTATTTGCTATCTGCATTTTATAGAAAGGCCATTTAAAAAATATTTTGTTAGGGCAATAATAGATTAGTGCAGACTGTGTATAAAAACCCTGCTTGGCCTAGCCTAAGCTGAAGGAGGAATGAGAGATGAAGGTTGGGAAACCTCAAGGGCCTCGCTTCAGTTCAAGGGAGTGACAGATTGGGGTATAGAATCTTCGTCCTCCTTCCAAATTGCTGAGAAAGGACCCTGGCCCCCTTGGGTCAGATGCTCATACCTGAGCCAGTCAGTGTGACCTGTGAACAAAGCAATGTCTACCTACCTATGGCTGCTCTTGAGAACAGCCACCTGGAGGAAGTGGTGAAGGGAGTGGGGAGAATAGGCCAATCCTGGAAAGCAGGAGGAGCACAGTTCACAGGAAAACATGGACTGAAGAGGAAAACAGAAGGTGCTCACCACGTCTCCAGAACTGATGTTTCTTTCAATGTTTTGAACATCTGGGTGTGGAATGCCACACGTGTTCCTGACAGGAGGGGAGCTCACCAGTGGGCCTTCGCGGATTGGCTCTTCCTAAAAATAGTTCCTTTCATTCTTTGGTCCTTGTCAAAGCAGTGAAAGTTTGGCCCTCCTAGGTGTGGGAGATCCCACAGGAAATGCCAAGATGAAGGGGACTTCAGAAGGAAATGTGATTAAAAAGTGACAGCTGCTTGTTCTCTGAAGCAATCCTTTAAGTTCCTTCTACACTCTTCTTACATACTTTAGCTACTTCCAATGAAGCACCAAAAATATTTGCTCACTGGAAAAGCTGGATAAAAGCTCCTTTTACTGCCTTGTAGGCAACCACTAACATTTTTTAAAGTGGGGGTTGGGGAAGAGAAAATCTCCATACTTTGAGTTGTAGTTTTTCCTTACAGTAGTCTGGGAAATAATGTTTTAAGGCCTACAAGGCCTGCATGGGCTCAGGTTGTGTATTTACTAGATATTCAGAGTTTTTTTTTTTTTTTTTTTCTGACTCACTGCAAACTCTGCCTTCCAGGTTCAAATGATTCTCCTGCCTCATCCTCCCAAGTAGCTGGGACTACAGGCATGCGCCACCACACCCAGCTAATGTTTGTATTTTTAGTAGAGACGGGGTTTCGCCGTGTTGGCCAGGCTGGTCTCAAACTCCTGCCCTCAGGTGGTGGGAGTATGGCCCACCATGCCTGGCCTGTATATTCATAGTCCTTATACCTCTTAAACTTTAACAAATGAGATTTTTTTTTAAAAAAGAAACATTGGCCTCATAGAAGCATGCTCAAGAATTCTGAAAAAGTTCCATGAGTCCTATATGCAAATGGAATCGGATAAGGGGTTGAAGTTTGCGTGCAGGGGCTCCTACTTGGTTCCCTGAGCCCCTCTGCAGGAGCTGAGAAACCAGGGCTCACCCTGAGATCATCTCAGTCTTGCACTCTGCTCCCCTTGACTCCTAGATGCGTGTTTTGGACAAGCTGATGGTTGAGCGACTCTCTGCAGAGAGGACAGAGTGCCTGAACCGCCTGCAACAGCACTCAGACGCGGAGAAGCATGAAGGGGAGAAACGGCAGGTAGGAACCAGCATCTGCCAGTCATTATGATTTACCACACAGGCCCACTGAGCTCAGACAGGCCTGCCACTGAAAATTCGGAGGCTGAGATTCCCTAAGAGCTTTTGCATTATGTAGTGTATCATTTTTTATAATACTGAAATGAGGTTAATAGAAAAGAACCCATAGTTCTGTTTATGTCCATGACTGAATATGCTGGCCACAGATGAAGACCGAACATGCTGGGGAAGATGCCATTTCTGTCCCGAACTCATTCCATGTATTGTGCATTTGTTAGGCCATTATAGTTTTAGAACAAGACAGTTTCTACCCTCAGGGAGTTTACTGTCTCACCAAGATAATAGACATGGAATGGGTACAGTGGGTGTGTGAGAACTCAGGCTTTGTAAGCAACCAGAAGTACTTGGTTTGGAAGATTTGGGTGGTTTTGGGTGGTTGAGTTTAAGGTGGCTCTAAGTCACTTAATGAAGATTGTAGACAGCTCTGCTTGGGTGCCTGCTGTGGCCTAGGAGGGTTGCTTAGTCTGTCTGTGTTGCTATAAAGGAGTACCAGAGGCTGGGTAATATACAAAGAAGAGAGTTCTTTGGCTCATGGTTCTGCAGGCTGTACAAGAAGCATGGTGCCAGCATCTGCATCTGGTGAGGGCCTCAGGAAGCTTCCACTCATGGTAGAAGGTAAAGGGGAGCTGGTGTGCACAGATCACCTAGCAAGACAAGAGGCAAGAGAGACACGAGGGAGGTGCCAGGCTCTTTTAAGCAACTAGCTCTTTCAAAAAGTAATAGAGTGGCCAGGTGCAGTGGCTCATGCCTGTAATCCCAGCACTTTGGGAAGCCAAGGTGGGCGGATCACGAGGTCAGGAGATTGAGACCACTCTGGCGAACACAGTGAAACCCCACCTCTACTAAAGATACAAAAAAACTAGCTGGGCGTGGTGGCAGGCGCCTGTAGTCCCAGCTACTTGGGAGGCTGAGGCAAGAGAATGGCGTGAACCCGGGAGGCGGAGCTTGCAGTGAGCCAAGATTCTGCCACTGCACTCCAGCCTGAGCGACAGAGCAAGACTCCGTCTCAAAAATATAAAAAATAAAAAAATAGAAAATAAACTAACAGAGCAAGAACTCACTAACTGTGAGGATGGTACCAAGCCAGTCATGAGGCATTCACCTTCTTGACCCAACCCCTCCCATGAGGCCCCACCTCCAGCACTGGGGATCAAATTTCAACGTGAGATTTGGAGGGCTCAAATATCCAAACCATAGCAGTGGGCAAGCCATAACTTTTGGGTTAGATGGTATCCTCAACTGTTATAACTGAAAAGTCCATCCTTGATGCTTTAATTCATAAACCATGTATCAAATTCACTTGATTCTTCTGTTACTTATTTGTGGGTTTTTTGTTTTTTGTTTGTTTGTTTTTTAGATCTCCTTGGTGGATGAATTAAAAACTTGGTGCATGTTAAAGATTCAGAATCTGGAGCAGAAGCTTTCTGGAGATTCTAGGGCCTGCAGAGCTAAATCCACACCATCTACTTGCGAGTCCTCTACAGGTAATCCACATACAGAGAGCCCTTTGGTCCAAAAGGAACACGACCAGCAGCTCCTGTTCTCTCCTGCACTGAAAGGCAGAGTCCGTAGGATGCGGCTGCGGGAAACACTGGATGGTCGCGCGCACCCTGTAGGGGCAAGGACTGTATTTGCTCATAACCGTATACTCAGTTGCTATATAGTAATGAAGCACTCATTTATGTGCTCAAACTTATTTGAATAAAGGAATTAAAGAATTGTTGATTGGTGATAACATTGCTTTGAGTACGGTGTTGATGGTATCAGAGTGGACCCCAAAGATGAGAGGTGATGAAGAGCCATCAGTCTCCTCAGCAGGGCTCTTCCTCCCTTGCCTTTTGTGCCTTTTACCTCTTTCTTCTCTTTGATCTACCTTTTACTTTTGTCCAACTATGCAGATCCTCATTAAACAGTAGTTCTTACATCGAACTTGCCCCGGTGCTAGATAGGAATTGCTGCAAGCAAACCATCTTTACATTAGCCACAGTGATTATACTCAATAATGACAATTTTGAGGACATGCAGAGCCTGGGTAACTAGGCCTCAGTGGGGGATTTTGATGTAAGTGTTTTGTGTTGCCACAGGCCATCTCTGGAACTGTGTTTTCATCTTTGTGCCAACAACATGGGGAAACATCCCAGGAAAATGTTTTATGCTAGGACTACTCTTGGAGCTTGTCCTGGAGCTCTGGGTGTGGAAAATGGGGCCTCCTTTCCTAATTGGAGCTTGGGTCAAGCAATTAGTACACTGGTAGGGAATAGGCCCAGACATTAGAGAATGGAAATACATATTCTCATAGATAAATGTCCAAATCTGCTTTGAGATACTTGGTGAGCGGCATCATCCTTAGGCATCAGGAAACAGGACCAGAGCCTTCTCAGGTAGATTGAGGCAGGCTGAAGGAAAAGCTAGCAACTTTTTTGGCTTAAATGGTACCAGTGTGGCTAACACAGAATCCATGAAAGCTCTGACAAGCCAAAGTGATCATCAGAGGAGACAAAGTGGGAGGGAGGAACAGAAAGGTGAGAAAAGGCTCAGAGGAGACGTTACACATGGTGTGTGGTGATGGAGAAGACTGGTGATTTACAGCATCCTTAAGACTCTCACATACCGACCCGCAGCCATATGACTGTGTGAATGTGGATTTGCCCTCATGTTTGTTTTCCTTCTGAAACCAGGTGTGGATCAATCAGTGGTGACTGCAGGTCCAGCAGCAGCTTCTGACAGCTCCCCTCCAGTGGTTAGGCCCAAAGAAAAGGCCCTCAACTCCACTGCTACCCAGAGACTGCAACAGGAGCTGTCGTCTTCTGACTGTACAGGCTCCCGACTGAGGAACGTCAAGGTCCAGACAGCCTTGCTACCCATGAATGAGGCAGCCAGATCTGATCACCAGGCTGGGCCCTGCGTCAACAGAGGCACTCAAACTAAGAAGTCGGGGAAGAGTGGGCCAACAAGGCATCGTGCCCAGCAACCCACAGCCAGCAGCACCTGTGGGCAGCCGCCACCAGCAGCAGGCGGCGAGCAGACTGGCCCTCACATTCGGGACACCTCCCAAGCTCTGGAGCTTACCCAGTATTTTTTTGAGGCTGTTTCTACCCAGATGGAAAAGTGGTATGAAAGGAAGATTGAAGAAGCACGCAGCCAAGCCAATCAGAAAGCCCAGCAAGACAAGGCTACATTGAAGGAACACATTAAAAGTTTAGAAGAGGAACTTGCCAAACTAAGGACTAGGGTGCAGAAGGAAAATTAGCACCAATAAAGAGGAAACACGAAAGGATTCTTGAAGATTTCGTTTTGCAACTGCATAATAGCTATGCCCAAGGAGTCATCTATTGTATATATTGCAGATTGGCCTTTTTAAAGAAAAATCACTAATTCTACAATGTGCCAGGTACATGTTTCCTATGCCCGGAAGTTATGAAGACCTCAACAATTAAACTGAAACCAGGGGAAGCTTGCTTAGTTTTGGGTTTCATTATAAACTCTTAGCCTTAGTCCAGGTTAATCTGAAGTTTGAAAGCTCAGATTAAGCAAGCCATGCCAAGAAACTAGATGATGTGTAAGCCTAGACTCTAAAATTCAAGATGTGTGAAATAATGTAAGTCAAAAGCAAGAAAAACTTAATCCCGTCTGAACTCAAGTAGTCATTCATATAAATTTGAACACACCTGCTGTGCCTAGACAAGTGTCTTTCTGTAAGAGAGCTGTCACTCTGAGACGTGCCAAATAAACCCTCTTTCTCAAATGTGTAATTCTCCAACTGTTGACATTTTAATCCATGAAAAGTTACTAGATTTTTGAGGAGAAATATTTTCATGATGTCACAAGATCCAGTATATCTTATGATAAAATTTATTGAAAAGTCAGTTTATTTAAATAATGAGTAATTGGCTAACAGCTCTGGAAACAATGAGATCAAATGAGAAAGATTCAAATTGTTTGATATTTTCTGTATTTTCAGTCAAAAAATCAGTTATAGTGATTTTAAAGCAGATTAATGGAAAAAACATTCATGTAACAATTACCTGAAGATTTATAACCTATTCTTAAACCCAATTATATCAGAATACCTTTCTGAATTTGAGATTATTGCTCTACATTTTATAAAGTATAAGGCTATTTTTCGAAAGTATTTCATTTTGAATTGTCATTAAAGAACCTCAAAAGCTTTCTACTGCTTTGCAGTGACTATGTCAAGGCAAAATATTCAATAACTCAACTTAGGCCCCACTGTTCCCCAGCTTCATGGAGACCTGAAGACTTTACTTTGCTCCATAATGAAATATAAACGCAGAAACAAAGTTGTACAAGTAGCTTGGATATGTTGAAACTTTGGACAAGCTTCTTGTCCTTTGGAATATGGGATTTATATTCATCTCCTCAATATCCCATGTATGCATAGAAACTTCAATTCTATTTCTGTAGACACAGGAACCTAGTGACTACTGAATGTAATTGTGAATACAATGCTGCTCGTTGAGCCAAAGAGAAGAAATGACATATTAACATGGGGACACCAAGAAAAACAAAGTATGCTTTTATTCCCTTTGTCGAGCTCACAGTTTTGGGTTTTGGTTTTTTTTTTAAATAATGACAATCCATAGATATAGACATTCCTAAAAGAAAAAATATATAATTCAGTACATATATGTCACTGTTACAGACCTGAATATGGAATGAATTTGATGTTTTTGTTTGATTTTGTTGAGATAGGGTCTTGCTCTGTCACCCAGACTGGAGTGCAGTGGCATGATCACACCTCACTGCAGCCTTGGCCTCTCAGGCTCAAGCGATCCTCCTGCCTCAACCTCGCAAGTAGCTGGGACTACAGGCGTGTGCCACCAGTCCCGGTTAATTTTTTGTAGATATGGGGTCTCAATATATTGCCCAGGCTGAATTTGATGTTATTTCAAGTTGATTTTCTTGTGTTTGAGAGCTTGTCTTGTTCTCAACTACTACGCAGGTAGACAGTCTTCCCCCAGAGACTCACTAGATTGCAATATAGAGGCACTCTCTCATTTCCCTGTTGTTCCTAATACAGAATTGTAGAGCTGGAGAGTACCTTCAGTTTTCTAAATCTATTCTCAAACAGGATATCACTAACCTCTTTAGAATCATTCCTCAGTATACATATCAATTTATTGAGAACTGCCTAATACTCAAAAGAAATGAAATCCCGAGTTCAGTAAGCTGTGTTCCAAGCCACAATTATTTTCACTTACCAAAATATCTCCTGTTACCTCAAGGTATCCTTGTTGAGGAATGCTGAAAACTAAATTTTAAGTATAAAGTCTAGACCATAGAGTGCTTTGGTGGGAGTATTTTGATTATATACCTCCTGCCTATCAGAAGCAGGCAGCTAATATTGTGGACTGAGTATTTTTGTCAAAAGTCACAGGGAAGAGACTACAGAAGAATGAGAAAGGTCAAATGGACCTAGTGTGGCTGACCACATGGATCTTGTCTCTTGGAGGTCTGTTGTAGAAGAGAAAACACATAGAGGTGAAGACACAGAACAGGCTCAGTCAGCATCCTTACCCAGAGATGGCAACATCTATTAAGACCAATGCAATACCTTTTCATCTTCAACAAATGTTGTTTCGTCTGTTTTTGATCCTTGGCATTGTCAAAAACTTAGCTGCAGGTCCAGTGTATATTTTTCCTTATTTTTCCCTTTTAGCTATGTGCTAAAATGAGTAAATGCCACAACTGTACTTTTCCAAAGAAACAGAACTATTGACAATTTATAGCCTGTCATGCAGGTCATGTTTCAAATCAAGGCTGAAATTTTCAACAGCTATGGGAAAAACTAATGTAAAACAGAAACATTGTACAATATTAGTGTTTTTTAAAAGAAACTGTTAGTGCATTATTGAGTATACTAAATATCTGTGAAAGATTAAATGTATTAGTTCTAATCTTACTTTTGATTTCGGGAGCCCAAAATAAAGGAAGTGTTATTTTCATGGTTATGCCTTGTTTGTGGAGTCAAGTGTTGATATACTTGAGGCATATTATGTCTTCTAATTAATATTTTTATCACCTTGAATTTGTGTCTCTTCCAAACATTAAACTTTAACATACTATGGATCTTAAATTCCTTATTAAAAAAATGAAAGTGTGAATACTTTGTTTAGCTTACATTTTAATTTATTGTGGTTGACCACATTTTATGGCTCCTGAGTGCCTTCACCCAGCTACATGTTACCCTGTATCTATAAAAGTGTAAATTAGAGTAAATACATTGGCTGTAAAGTCACCATCAGTTGCTCTCCACCAAAAGCAAAACAAAACTGCTGAAATGTGGCAGGGTTTCTCAGTGCAAGCTTAAATGTTTAAACTGTTGACCATTTGGAAAATACTGGACAAAGGGGAAAGACAAAACATCATTTGCAATAAAGGTTATGCAAGGCAAGGCGTTATACTTTTTGACTAAGTTATTCTTAAAAGTTAAATGCAGTTCTTCTTTGAAGTCTGGATTATAAGTCAATCAAAGACAAAACCAGTTTGAAAAACGTTTTGTATTCTACAATACCTTTTATGAGTAAGAGTACAATATACATTTTTTATTTGTAATTTTATTTAAGGAGAAATACTCTTTCCCTTTGATATGACTACATTTTATAAACATCAAGGAATACGTTCTGCTGTCTGCAATTTTAGAAAGTCATTCCATTCTGGGTGACAGAATGAGGTAAGGCTGTCTCTTTAAAAACAAAAACTCACACCTGTAATCCTAGCACTTTGGGCACCCAGGCAGGTGGACTGCTTGAGCCCAGGAGTTTGACACTAGCCTGGCAACAAAGTGAGATTCCCCCTCCTCTCTACGAAAAGTAAAAAAATTAGCTGGTCATGGTGGCACATGCCTGTGGTCCCAGCTACATGAAAGTCTGAAGCAGGTGGATCTCGAGCCCAGGAGCTCAAGGTGGCAGTGAGCCATGTTCGTGCCACTCTCCAACTTGTGCAACAGAGACCGTCTCAAAAAAGTCATCTGTGTGTTTCTTGCAGGCACATTTATGACAATGTACCATGAATTTAAAATTTCTAACTTGATGGCACATTTTTACTTTTTTTTGAGACATAGTCTCACTCTGTCACCCAGGCTGGAGTGCAGTGGTGTGATCTCAGCTCACTGCAACCTCTGCCTCCTGGGTTCAAGATGAGGCAGCCCTCCTGAGTAGCTGGAATGACAGGCGTGTACCACCAGGCTAGGCTAGCTAGTGGCCTAGCTAGTCTTGAACGCCTGACCTCAAGTGATCCACCCACCTCAGCCTCCCAAATTGCTGGGATTACAGGCGTGAGCCACCACGCCAGGCCCTGATGGCACATTTTAAAAGGGGGGAATGACATAGGGGCAATTAATATTTATATAATAGCTTTAGCCACTTCTTATGCTACAAAGCTCTGTACTTAAATTTTTTTACTATAAAAGGATCAATTTATTGTGGTTCAGATACATAAACTGACATTCAAACATCTTAAACTTTAGGAACAAAAGTTTAACATTTAAACAAAGTACAGTTTTCAGGAAACATCCAGAAAGTAATTTGTCTAATCCAGAGTACTGACAAAGATTGCTTCATGATAAAGTGTGTTTCACCAGCATTTTTTTTTTCATTCCTCCATAAAAATCACTGGCAGTTTGATTCAGACCAACTTCATAATGATTGTGGCTCCGTACCTTAGAAAAAACTGCTAAATAAATACCTTAGGTTAACCAACAAGATTGGCCTATAATTCAGAGGGTATCAGCAAAGCATATAAGTGAGGAAATTAAATTGTTCTTTAGAGATGATGTAAAAGTGTGTCCATTGCAGTACTTTTCGCCTCTGACAGATTATTCAATTTTCAGTGTTTTACTTTTTTCTGGGGGCGGGGAGGGGAGGGAGGGTCTTGCTCTGTTCCCAGGCTGAAGTGCAGTGATGTATTCATGGCTCACTGCAGCCTCAACTTCCCGTGCTAGACGCGATCCTCCCGCCTCCGCCTCCTGAGTAGCTGGCATGACAGGCACCTGCCACCTTGCCAGCTCATTTTTTAATGTTTTGTAGAGGCAGACTCCCACTATGTTGCCCAGGCTGTTCTCAAACACCTGGGCTCAAGAGATCCTCCTGCCTCAGCCTCCCAAAGTGTGGCTTACTCGCGGAAGCCACCGTGCCCGGCCTTGCCTGCTTTAGAAAACAAACAAACAAAAAAACTTAGGTTTTCTTCGAGTCTGTGCTAGTTGCATCCTGCAAATGCAAACCACATAGGCTCTTCAATGAAAACCTTTCCATGCACACCACTGTTAGGAAAAGCATCATTAAATCTGACTTCTATACCCATAAAAGGATGATTCTGAGTTTCAAGATTTTAGATTTACTAGAGATAGCCTGTATTTATCAATCATGTCACACAAAAATATTTCCAAAGTGTTCTCTGTTCAGAAATGTCACAAATGCTTCTGTCAGATCATTTTGCAACAGGTTAATACTTATCTACATAAAAACCTGAAAATTGGCACAGGTAAGCACTTTGAATTAGTAGATTACCCCCATGCAACAGTATGCAGAATTATTTTGTCTCGTGGGCTCTGAGGCTCTGGGGCTCTGGGAGGTAGAGGTGGACCCTGACAGTCCATGTCACCAACATCCACATTCAGTTGATGCCTCTCCTCAGGCACAGTCCAGTACTGGATACCATTTATCATTCTGCAAAATGCTGTCTACATCTTTCAGGTGCTGGTCATTCTTAGATTAGCTTCTTAGCTGTACTGTTCATGAACAGAAGACTTCAATTTTCAGGATGGATGATTCCAGCATCTTCCACAAGCTTTCACTTTCACATCTTTCACTAAATTGTTATAAATTTGTTCTCCTTCAAAAGTGCCCTGAAGTCAACTTTGGTTGTAATGTATTTGTCTCTGACGTATTCTTCAAATTCTTTTTTTCCTGTCATTGGAGGAGAACTGCACCCAGAATCTTATTTTTTCTACTTCCGCGTGAATGTGAAGGTACTCACAGAGGTTGCATCCAGAAGTCTCCCCTCTTCTTTCTGGTAAGTGCTTCAATGTGCTCATTAAGCTTCTCTTTCTCTTCTCTTTCCAACAAAGATCTAGATGCCCAGTGGTGATCTTTTTGATGAGTCCTCTACCAAACTATGACACATGTGAAGAACGTACCTGAACAACCCTCAGGGATAATGCAGGATTTTTCGGGAAAGTTCCAGGGTATCTCCTGGTGTCAGTATACTTTCAGTCCTACGCCTCAGAGTATTTTTTTTTTTTAAATAACAGCTTTATTGAGATACAACTCATACCTTACATTTAAAATGTACAATTCAGTGGATTTGAGTGTATTCAGAGTTGTGCAGCCTACACCACAAGCTAACTGTAGTATATTTTCATCACCCTGAAAAGGAACTCTACGAACCCATTAGCAGTTACTCCATTTCATCTACAGCAAGCCTAGGCAACCACTAATCTTCCTGCCTATTCTGGACATTTCGTATGAATGGAATCATCATGTGATCTTTTGTGACTGGCTTCTTTCACTTAACGTTTTCAAGGTTTATCCATGTTTAGCATAGTTTAGCATATATAAGTTATTTGTTTCTTTTTAGTGCCAAATAATAGCTATGGGCATAGGAGTAGAATGGCTAAATCATACAGCAGCTGTTTCATGTTTTGAGGAACTGACAGTCTGTTTTCTGAAGTGGCTACACCATTTTACATTCATTCCCACCAGCAATGTATGAGGGTTCTCTAATTTCTGTACATCTTCACCAACACTTACTATTATTTCTCTTTTTAATTACAGCCATTCTAGTGAATGTGAATCTCAGGGGTTTTTTTTTGTTTGTTTGTTTGTTTTGGAGAGTCTCACTCTGTCACCCAGGCTGAAGTGCAGTGGCACGATCTCAGCTCACTGCAACCTGCACTTCCTGGGTTCAAGTGATTCTCCTGCCTCAGCCTCCCAAGTAGCTGGGACTACAGGCATGCACCAACATGCCAGGCTAATTGTTGTATTTTTAGTAGAGATGAGGTTTCACCATGTTGGCCAGGCTGGTCTTGAACTCCTGACCTCAAGTGATCCACCTACCTCGGCCTCCTAAAGTACTGGGATTATAAGCGTGAGCCACTGCACCCGGCCTCCTAGTAGTTTTGATTTATACTTCCCTAATGATTGTGTCCAGCATTTACTAGCCATTTGTTAGTGGTTTTTTCTTTTTTTTTTTTTTTTTTTTGAGACGGAGTCTCGCTCTGTCGCCCAGGCTGGAGTGCAGTGGCCGGATCTCAGCTCACTGCAAGCTCCGCCTCCCGGGTTCACGCCATTCTCCTGCCTCAGCCTCCCAAGTAGCTGGGACTACAGGTGCCCGCCACCTCGCCCGGCTAATGTTTTGTATTTTTTTTTTAGTAGAGATGGGGTTTCACCAGGTTAGCCAGGATGGTCTCGATCTCCTGACCTTGTGATCCGCCCATCTCGGTCTCCCAAAGTGCTGGGATTACAGGCTTGAGCCACCGCGCCCGGCCGGTTTTTTCTTCTTTTAAAAACTGCTGAGACATCCATAAACATTTTCAAAATGCAGGGTATGTTTTTCAGTGTTAAGGCAACTGTTTTGATGTGTTTTCCTTTGCTGTCTATCACCAAATACTGTACATACAAATAGAAAGACTGGGCTTTGTGTTGTCCATTGTTAATCCTAAATGCAACGAAACACATGGAGACTTTGAAAATCCTTCAGAATAATGCTATAGTTAAGATTTTGCTAAAGCAAGTGATTTTTCTAACTCCTTGAGCTGCATATTGCCTTGAGTAATCATCATCCGGATTGTATCCTGTAGAATAAAGTGAAATCTGGTTATTGTTTTACCTGGTTAAACAAGGTATAGCTATACCGTTTTATTTGTTAAAATCAACAATACTACGTATTTGAACTGCTGTCTTTTAGAAAAGACGAAAGATTTCCACATCCATACATATAAAACGTACAACATAAAAGTCGTGATAATGCTGAAGAGTGTAGATACAGCAATATTAAATTTTAAAACATCATTTAAAATCGGTAACATTACAAGCAATGATCAAGATATACCAACTCAGTGGCACTATATTCCAAGATATCTGCTAAACTTAAAAAAAAAAAAAAATTCACTGATCAATAAAAAGGGTTAGGATCTGTCCTCGCCATGATTTTGTTCTCACCTCTTCGGTGGCACTTTTGTTTCTTTTGAATTCTTCCCTTGCCCAATCCTTCAGGTATTTGCGATCAGAATCATTTGGAACTTGCCGAATTGTTTGCAAAATCCTTCTGTAGAGGAGAAGAACTTGTTGCCTTCTTATGAACTGTAAAAGGGAGGAGCAATAGCAATTACTTCTGCACAATCGCCAGCCTGAAAAGTTCTACTTCAGCAAACCGAGCTGCAACCAGAGTCCTCGTTGGTCAATTTTGAAAAAGGCAAAGAAAAACAACTTTTTTTTTTCCGCCAGGTGCAGTGGCTCAGGCCTGTAATCCCAGCAGTTTCGAGGCCGAGATGGGAGGATCACTTGAGCCTAGGAGGTCTAAGCTGAGGTAAGCCCTCATTGTGCCACTGCACTCAGCCTGCACGTGAGGCCCTGTCTCAAAAAGATGTTTTAAAAGCATCACGAGGTTCATCTGATCTTTCTGCTTACTGCTCTGTCAAATCTAAGAACCATTAAAAAATCAGCTGACTACCGGGCTGAAAAGGGCTGCCAGTCTCCTAGAAGTTATTACAACGACAGCACTTTTTCTAAATTAACAGTTGTTCAAATCTTTGGTAATCTCATTTGCCGTTTGCCACAGCTCAGTGCAATAGAGAGTAGTCTTTACCGTGGGCACTGAGCAGCTGATGCACCGGGACTCCGGGAAATCAAGCACCTGACGCGTCTCACGCGACCGCACCAAACCAAGCAAGCCGCCCGTGCCTCCCGTCAGGCCCCGCGAAGCGAAGCACCGCCCCGCAGGCATCGGGCCAATCTCAGAGGGCGCGCACGGCGCGTCAGGACCCCGGAACCCGCCCCGTTGGGTGGAGGGAGAGATGGAGAATCCAGAAGCTCAGACCCAGGTAAGCTGCTCTGGAAGGCAGAGAACCGCCGGTACCTGTTTTAACGTTAGCGTCGCTGGGGATAAGCGGGAAGCAGCCATGTCAGCCAGCGGTCCGCCGGAGCCTCAGCGCGCAGAAGCGGAAGTAGAGTCCGACCAAGGGGGTGTGGCGAGCCCGGTTTCCTAGGAGACGGCCCGGGGTTGCGCTCTGAGTGAGCGCGAGACTTCGGGACTGAGCCCTAGGGTTAGGAGCCGGTTATGGGCTGCGCTGGCCGGTTTTCTCGTCGGTAAAATAGGATAGCAGTGCACCATAGGGTCGTTGCGATAACGAAAGAAGAAAGGTAGGACACTTAGCACAGTTCTTGGTAAAGAGAGTTCAAATGAAAGTGAAGGAGGCCGCGCGGGGGCTCTTGCCTGCAGTCCCAAGACCTTTGAGAGGCCTGTAAGGTGCCTGTAATCCCAGCTTCCCGGGATGCTGAGGCGGGAGAATCGCTTGAACCCGGGAAGTGGAGGTTGCAGTGAGCCGAGATCGCACCACTGCCTGTCTCGGGGGAAAAAAAAAAAAAAAAGTTAAGGTTTTTTTGGAGGAAAGAAGTGAAAACGTATTTGAATGTTCTTTCGAGCCTTTAAAAATGTGTATAGTTGAAAATACTAAAATTGAAAGTGTTGATTTCTTTTACAATTTGTGTTGGTTTTTTCTTTCTCGTTTTCGTCCTGTTCTTTTGTAGCGCAAGCGTTTTCCGGGAGCGGTGGTCTTCATGATCCTTTGAAACAAAGCTTCTGAATGGCTGCTCCACTGCAGTCTTAAGCACTTTCATCACTAATAACGAGGAGCCTAACATCCCTAAGCCTCAGGCTTTTGCTTTTATTTCCTCATAGCTGTTTTATCTTTCCCACAATACACACCACACACCTTCAGGTTAAATCACTAGAAGTGGAGTTAGCGAATCTTTGCTATATTCATTTTCCAAGTATTGTTGTATCGAATTAAAATAAAACCAAAAATTTCATTCAATTTCTAGTTTACTGGGGACTTGCCTGCCTCGCCTGTTGGCATCCTGGGGCTCCCTATTCGTAGCTATGTTCTGGCTATTTCCCCTCTCCTGGCCTGTTACCTCCCCTGTAAAATGAAATACAGCATCTACCTCAGTTGTGTATCTCTAATGTACTGAGAACAGGTCCTGGCACATGTAAGAACTCTAATCATTGGTTCTTTTGAACTTTACCAGGCATTGTATGAATGATGCTAACTGCATGACCATCTTATCAATAATATATGTATCAAATTTTGTCTAATACATTAGCTGTAATAGTTAACTAACTTTTTAAAAAGAGTGAAGTTAAATACCCCTTGCCTTTTTAAATTATACTGATTTTGTGAATTGTTCATGACTTGGGTCCGTTTATGAGGAGGACTTTTCTTTTATATGGGCTCTATATTTTGTTTTTGTCATTTATACATACATACATAAACTTTATGCAATCATGTACTTTTGTGCCTTTTGAGGCTTTTCATTTCCCAGACCTTTGTTAATTCATTTTTAAAAATCTTTCATTTTTTAAAAATATTGACTCTATCTAGAATTTACTTTGGTTTATAGTCATGTGGATCTACGTTCTTTTCTAGATGTTAAGCTGTAGCAATACCATTTATTACATAACTTATTCCTTTTTCGGGGCTTTATGTAATGGATGCCTTTTTGACTCTGATAAATTTTTTAGTGTCTGAGTAATCTGTCCAGAATTGTTTCATCTTAGGGTTTTTAATTTTTGTTTTATATGTATGTTATTATTTGGCAGGACTTTAGTTTCTTGTAAAAAATTCATTAGTACTGTTCTCCATAACCTTTTGTACCATTTCCCTCCAAATCATCTTGTGATCTTGATTGGAATTTTGAAATAGTGTTGAATCTATTCATTAATATGTGAGAAGACACTTTTACATTATTTCTTCTTCCCATCAGGAAACACTCAGACCGGGCGTGGTGACTCACGCCTATAATCCCAACACTTTGGGATACCAAGGTGGGTGGATCACCTGAGGTCAAGAGTTCGAGACCAGCCTGACCAACATGGTGAAACCTTGTCTCTACTAAAATACAAAAAATTAGCCGGGACTGGTGGCTCATGCCTGTGGTCCCAGCTACTTGGGAGGCTGAGGCAGGAGAATCGCTTGAACCCGGGAGATGGGGGTTGCAATGAGCTGAGATTACACCATTGCACTCCAGCCTGGGCAACAAGAGCAAAGCTCTGTTTCAAAAAAAAAAAAACAAAAAAACTCACTCATGCTAGACACTGGTAATGTTATAAGTCATATACGCTCCTTGCTCAAAGACTCGTGCTTTGGACAGAAAAACCTCTAAGTTCAGTATAGTGCTAACAAATAATGTTGCGGTTCATACTGTGGGAAATTATTCTTCCTGGAGGGCTTGTCTGAGATAGGTATTTGGCAGAAACGCAGAATCACTAAGAGGATTCCAGACAATACATGGAAACACTGGCAGGGATGCTGGGAGAGAAGGGACAGGAGAGTCAAGCAAGAGCCTCATAGGTCACATGAAGCAGCTTGAATATTACCCTCTTCACAAGGGAGAGCTTTGAAGGGATTTTCAGCTAGAGAACTTTTAGAAAGATCTTGGATGTTGTGAATAGCAATGAAGTGAGCAAGCAAAGAGAAGTTACTGGTCAGGATACCATTGAAGTAGTCTCTGCTAGAGATGAAAAGAGCCCCAGTCACAGTGGAGTGGTGGGAGGGGGAGGGATGGGATAGGATAGGATGTCCAGAAGCCTGACTGGACAAGATGATTAATTTGATTGGGGTATAGATAGAGATGGAGAAGGAAGCAAAGCAGATGTATAGGTTAAGTCCCAAGTTTGTAAACAGGGCAGCTGTTGGAGTGGTCATCCCAGATGGGGAATGTTGAAGGAATGGGTTTGGGATACGTGAATTAGAGAACAGAGTCACATTTTGAATGTAATGCATTTGAAGAGTCTGTTGCCTAAGTACAGCCCCAGCAGATGTCTGAATATAATTGAGAATACCAAGGAGTACACTTCCTGGACCCTTGAATGGAGAATTTTACAGTCCTTTTGCTTCAGTCTGGAGGCCACGGGAGTGGTCAAGTTGTCCAAAGTGAGATTTTATTGTTGTTGTTGTTATGTTGCTCTGTTGCCCAGGCTGGAGTGCAGTGGCACAATCTCAGTTCACTGCAACCTCTGCCTCCTGGTTCAAGCAGTTCTCCTGCCTCAGCCCCCCTAGTAGCTTGGGATTACAGGTGCGCGTCACCATGCCCAGCTAATTTTTTGTATTTCTAGTAGAGATGGGGTTTCTACCATATTGGCCAGGCTGGTCTCAAACTCCTAACCTCAAATGATCCACCCACCTCGGCCTCCCAAAGTAGTGGGATTATAGGCGTGAGCCACTGCACCCAGCCCCAAAGTGAGATTTTTAAGACAGCATGGAGGACTTTTGTGTTCTGCTGTCCATTGCTTAAATATCAGAAGTTACCTACTTGGCCAAGGCCAGGGGGATGGGCAGGATGGCACAAATGTCAACTATCAACATGGCAGATTAATGTATCACCACTCCTGCAAGCCCTGTTGGCAGCACAAGTTGAAAATGGCACTGTTGGGTTCCTGCTTCCTGGAATTCCTACTGTCCGTGATCTCATAAGCTAACCCAGGGCCAAGAGAATCACTCTGGCCACACCAGTTTGGGAGGTCTAAGATGGAGCTTCCAAAGGCAGATATAATAGATTGCAGCACTGTCATAATATTGGTGTCCTTCCCTCCCAGACTCAACCCTACTGGATGAGTAAACTGCCTGCCCTGTAGAGAGCTTTAGCCAATGAAATGTGAATGGATGCAACATCATTTATGGAGGAGAATTTTTAGAAGCCTCCTTACAAGGCTCCACCAACTCACCCTTTTCATTCTGCTGCAAAGCCAGTATATTATAGCTCAGCCTACCATGGACATAAATGCAAATGATAAATCAACCCTTGTAGTAAAAGCAACATTGAAGTTGGAAGGTCATGTTAGCACAGCATAAACTAGTAACAGCTGACTGATCCAGCAGAGAAGATCAGTCCCCTAGCGTACCTTTTACAATCCTGTCATCTTCCATTAAGAATAGTCACAAATTACATAAACAGTGGTATATGTTTTAATAGTTTTCAGAATATAAGCTGCATAGCTTTTTAGAATAAAAAATGATATAACTTCAGGTCCATGCTTTGGGACACTTGGTTAAACAACAGGGAATCTGTGTCTTTGATGACCACCTCAAAAGGGTGGCAGACTTCACAGTGTAACTTGGAAACAGACAAGGAGATAGATGATTACATCATGACATATTGCCTACAAAAGAACATTCTGACAGAACATTAAGTAGAACAGAGCACACAGTTTCAAGTATTCAAGCACTGCTTTCTGGTCAAGAAAAAACTGTCTAAAAATCAGTTTCTTTTGACTGGAGCTGCTGAGTTCTGGACACGGCATTTCTTTCCCAGAATGAGACTGGCTCAGTCCAGCTTGAAAGCAGTGTGAGGAATGACTCTTCCCCTTAATCATTAAGAAAAAAAAAAAAATGAACTAAACAAATAAATTACTACAACAACAGGGACCATGGCATTGAATGAAATAAAGGGGCAGTCACCTTCCCATCATTGCATAGTCTCCCGAAGCAGCAAGTGTGAAAGAGGATACTGAAAAGCCACTTCGTTTTTACACAGCCCAAGGATTGTTTTTATGGATGACTTGGGCTCCTATAATGTCCGGTTGCTTTATGAGAACACACACACACCACATTCTTCCTACCCTCTAAGAGAAGGTAATTCCTTTCACAGTAAGAAAACACAACGTCATACTCTCCAGAAACTACAGCTGTCTCGGCCACTTGACAGCTTTTGGGTACACACTGTGGGCTTGGCAAGGCAGAGCTTAGAGCAGGTTCAAAAGGGCAGCTCCCTTTAGTCCTTTATACAAAGGACTGTCAGAGTCCCATGCTCCTGGCAGCATCTCCTCAAGGCACAGGTGCCCAGATCCCCTGCAAAAGAAAACAGGCAGCTGGGCTCCAACAGTGGGGTATGACCTCCATCCAGGTCAGGGCTTCTGAGGGAGGGAAGAAGGATAACTCTTCTCTAGTTACGAGTTCAGGCACCTGCTGCTGCTTCCAGGTTTGGTATAAAAACCTTAGCCCAGACAAAGCCAGGAGTCAGAGTGTGTTCTCTAGGCTGTAAGATCACGTTATATAAAATAAAAATATTACAATAAAATTTTTTTGTAGTTGTCCAAAAGGGAGCACCTGGGTAAGCAATGTGACCTTCTGAGCATGGTTAAGTCTCACTTTGGACTCCTCTTTCTGTTCTATGGGTGGTCAGAGGCTGTCACCAACTCAAACCACTGTCTGAGGGCATCGCTGAGTGTCTCAGGAAGTGCGTTTACATCTCGAAGAATGATATAGTATGGGAATGGGAACTCTTCCATGTAGGATCGGATTTCAGGCATCTCTCCAGGTCCTTTAAATATCGGTACTTTAATGTCCAAGATAGAATCCTGTCAACAAAAGACATCATGAAATGGGGAGGCAGCGATTAAACCAGCATCCTTAGCTAGCTCTTCTGTGATCTCTTTTGCTAACAACTTTTACATCTGCTGTGTCTTATTCCTGCATATGAACCTAGCTTTTATTACTAAGTAAAAGAATTTTCAGAACTCTACCAAGAAGGAGGTAGATGTCTTTCTGAGTACCCCTTCCAGGAGGATGGACACTAAAAAAAAGGAAAAGGGGCAGATAGGAAAATCTACTTTCCCTACAGTGGTGTCTCCCCACCATCCACTTGGAATCATTCACACTAAATCTTTACCTTCCTATCAAGGCCTTAATGTGACTCGCAGAGACAGTGCTTCCCTGGAACAGAACTGCCCTGTAGGCATATTTCACTAAGACGACTGATGCTTCTTGCTGTGAGGAGGGCTGCTGAGACATAAGTCAGTGTGGAAACACCTGATCTCCCTTTCAAAGTGGTCAGTACCCATTATCAAAGCTGCAGTACCTGCACTGACTGTGCATAGAGGGCAATGATGACCCACAGAGGATGGTCATTCTGAATCTTGGCTCTCCCACTCATTACCTGTAACCACTATGTGTTTCAGTTCCTTCAGTGTAAAGTGGGAATAATGATCCCTACCTCACTGGCTTACTGCAAAGATTAACAGAGAAAATACAAGTGCCTACAATGGTACTTGACAGAATATCATGAATGCTGGGGGTTCTCAGTATGACTGAGTGATCCAGGCCATATTTCAGATTGAACAGGTTGAAGGGAATCCCCACTTTATCTCCAGAAAAGGTGGCTTTTAGTAGTCACTCACCCGTGAACTGGGATTGTCCAATACAACAAAGATGACAAAGATGTTCGCATTCCGGGCAGCCTGAACCGCTGCCAGGACTCTTTCTTTGCCCTCAAGGAAGAGGCCTCGCCCATCAGAGACTACCAGGAGGAGTTGTGCAATTTCTATAGACCATATAAGAGGAAGCAAGGGAGTAAAATGATCAGCCATTTTCAATAACTCACAACTACCCAAAGTAGGACAAATTAATGTAGACTTAGTCTGTACTATTAAAGCTAAACAGACTTCTAAAGCTGATGAATTCTGGGCACAAACCTAAGGGACCTCTGATGAGATCTATCCCTTAGAATGCCTGAGTCAGAGACAAGGCATAATAAGGGATACTAAGTACACTTCTGTCAGTATAGCAGAATTTCTCAATAGTGTTTCAGGAAATGTTAAATTCTGCTCAATTTCAATTGTAGAGCAACATACTGTAGATGAGAATTAAAACACTAGTTTTATGGCTATAAACTTTAAAAATGATAGTACTGAGTAGGGCATTAGAAGAAAGTAGCCAAATCAGAAATCTGGAACTGTGTCTTCCAAATTTCAGTCACCACATATAATCACCTTTAGACTTCTGTTAATTCCTTGTACCCAATTTCTGTATTTTTTCCCCTTGAAATTTGACTTGTTTAAACAAAACCAAATAGAAAAGAACCATAAACACTGAATGTTTTAAAATTTTTGCTACACAGTGTTTCCAGCTAAAGATTATATAGTACTTGAGTTGAGGGTGGGCTGTTTTCGCAAATGTTGAGAGGTGTGAATAACTTGCTTCCATCAAAATCTGAAGCTTCTGCATGATACACTGCGAACACTGAGAGATTTTTGGAAAGAACTAAAGAAATGGCATGTTTCAAGCCCCCAAAGTAAATGTGGTTGGATTAGCTGGCTGTTAAATTATGTCCTTCTCTACTCTCCTCTGTCATTAAAATATTAGAGAATACAGTACTCGAAGGGGACTGGTTTCAGGACACACCCCTCACCCCCAGTATACCAGAATACACACATATTCAAGTCCAGAGATGGCCCTGGAGAACCCACATACATGAAAAGTTGGCCCTCCATATACTCAGGTTTCACATCCCTCAAATGCTGAATTTTCAATCCACTTTTGGTTGGAAAAACTCCATGTGTAAAATAGACCTGAGCAGTACAGACAAACCTATGGTATTCAAGGGTCAACTGTAGTCTTTATATTTAATTCTACACACTTTGCTCCTTTCTCTCACAAATCTGAACTCTTATCAAATAGTTAGTGTCTAGATCCCGCATTGGTTATAAGCCTCATGAGTACAGGTTCAAAAAAAATTTCTGAATGAATAAATAAGTAAAAATCAGCTCCATCGATTTATGTCTTTTCCTGTGGAGCACACCTGTTAAAACACAGTGACGGGGCATTGAGCTGAAGCAAGCAGCTTGGGAATACAGAGTACAAGAAAGCGTTTTGTTTAGGAAGAGGAAGGCATGCAGCTCACCTGGACTGATGTTCTGTGAGAGCTGCTGAGCGGCTGCAAACATGCTGGCAACAGACTCTAGAAACTAAACCGGAACCAGAAATAGACAATTACAAAACTATGTAAATGCTCTTCCCATTGTCAGAGAGACTGATAGTACTTCTGACACTGAAGTGATTATCAGATAACCACCTCAGGTTTATAGACCATCAACTAACTGTCCCTTCTGGCCACATGTAGTTAAAAAAGGAGGATCCTTGGATACAGACATTCTGTTTTATTATTTTTTGAGAGAGGATCTGTGTCACCCAGGCTGGAGTGTAGTGGCATGATCTCACCTCACTGCAGCCTCAATTCCTGGGCTCTGCCTCAGCCTGCCACCAAGTAACTAGGATTACAGGTATGTGCCACCACACCCGGATAATTATTTTTATCTTTTGTAGAAATGAGATCTATGTTGACAAGGCTGGTTTTGAATCCCTGGCCTCAAGTGGTCCTCCCACCTCAGCCTCTCAAAGTGCTGGGATTACAAGTGTGAGCCACTATGCCTAGATGATACAGGCCTTCTCAAGCACAGGTGAGACGTTTCTCCAACATATAACCCACTAGAGTTCTGGAAGATACCCCAAAGTAAAAGAAGTGCTTCTCTGGGGCATAAGAAATCAATAAGTCGCTCAAATAAACCAAACAGTGTCTTCTTTCAAGAACAGAAAACAACTGAGCAAAAGAGAAGGCAAGAAAATACAGAATGTCCAGGGCAGCCTAGAAAAAGCAAACTGAATCAGAGCAGGACCCAGGAGAAATATGATCTCATGCTCTGTTTTGAACTTGTGTTCTCCTGCGTAAGTCACTGACTTTATTTCATATCATTTCTTCTCTAAGCTTAATGAGGGAGAAAAATAGGTCTTGGCCCACCTGATAAGTGTATGGGAGATGGGTTTGTTTTTGCAGAATGTTCCAAACTACTCAGAAAAACAAGCAGGGAGCTAGAAAACCAATGATGCAAAGTCAAGTGATCTCTGAGGAAGTGAGAAAAAGAAGTCACACCTTGTTTTATAATGGATGCCAAGGAAGCTTCTATTCCAGTGGTACCCAGGCTGAGATTTAGGACTATCCCTGTCCTAATACTGCATGGGATGGAGGGGGGGTTCTCAGCCCAGCATGGTGGTAATCCCAACAATTCGGGAGGCCAAGAAGGGAGGATCACTTGAACACAGGAATTTTAGACCAGCCTGGGCAACAAAGTGAGACCGTGTCCATACAAAAAAAAAAAAATCAGCCAGACATGGTAGCATGTGCCTGTAGTCCTAGCTACTAGGTAGTCCTAGCTATGAGGCAAGAGGACTGCTTGAGCCCGGGAGTTCAAAGTTATAGTGAGCTATGATGGTGCCATTGTACTCTAGTCTGGGTGACAGAACGAGACCCTGTCTCAAAAATAAAAATTGTTCTCCCTCCTACCTACACCAGTTTAAAAATAACTCTGCAGAAGACATTTTATTTCATCCTCTTACCTGAGCAATCTTGGTTTTCTTTTGTTGGAATTTGCAGAGACGTAGAATCTGGGACCCAGAGTAATCACTGAACTGCTCATGAAATGGGTGTAACAGCTTTACAGATTCTCCAAAACTTGGGAAAGGAAAACCAAATACAACAGGAGTTATTTTTTTGCTGTGTGATCAAAATAACCAAACAGGTTATGAAAAGTTTTCACAATGAAATTACAAAGCAACCTTACCTACACACTGCAATCTGACCCACTTCCAGGAGGGTTAGAGCATTTCCAATCACAGCCAAAGATTCAAATGCAAGCTGTGAATTAAAAGTTAATGACATCAGGAATCAGAGTATCCTCTAAACCAGAGCCTCTCGACTATTTTTTGCATCAAGATTCCCAAAGAAAACATTATTTTTTTGTTCGACAAGTAGAGGAATAACATGAATAAGGCTATTCTAGTCACAACAAACCCTGAGGCTTTGGTGGCCTGGTACCACAAATGTTGAAACCTAGAATCCATTACACTGATAGGAATGGTCTCCTGCAGACATCGAATAAAAAGTGACCTTGAGGGCCAGGCATGGTAGCTCACACCTGTAATCCCAGCACTTTGGGAGGCCAAGGAGGGAGGATCACTTGAAGTCCAGGAGTTCAAGAGCAGCCCAGGCAACACAGCAAGATCCCACATCTGTGGTCCCAGCTACTTGGAGGCTGAGGTAGGAGGATCACCTGAGCCCAGGAAAGTTGAGGCTACAGTGAGCCACCTGGGCCTGGGCAACAGAGTGAAATCCTGTCTTCAAAAAAAAAACAAAAACAAAAAACATTTAGCCAGGCATGTTGACACACACGTATGGTCCCAGCTACTCAGGAGGCTGAAGTGGGTGGGAGGACTATACTGCTTAAGCCCAGAAGGTTGAGGCCACAGTGAGCTATGATCATGCCACTGCACTCCAGCCTAAGCAAGAGAGCAAGACCCTGTCTTTAAAAAAAAAAAAAAAAAGACCTTGAGAAATATGGTCCATGAATTTTTCTTTCTTATTTTTTGGACCTACATAAAGAGTAACCTCTTGTAGGTAACAAATTTTATAAACTAATTTAAAATCCATTTATATATATGTAGTCAGATCAGACTGTATAACCATATCAGAAAATTTCATTACCATTTGCAATATGACAAAAGAACAGCTGAGTATTCTACATCTATTATTTCATTTAATCTTCATAACAATTCTGCAAGTATGAGGTTATTACTGTTCTGTGTGTGCTTGTAAATATATATATATAACATATATGTAAATATATATATATATTCCTCACTTTTCAGAAGATGAAACCGATACATAAGAAATAAGTTGCCCAAAGTCACATGTTAATAAATGGAGCTGGGATACGAACCCAGGTTCAGAGGCTACACTAACTTTTTCCAGCAAAACATACAAATTTTAGGCTGCTCATTAGCTCATGCATCACTGCCCAAAACAAACACTCTTTGGCATCTGTAATGGTGGTATAAGTTTTCTATTCAGGCTCCTAAACTTAATATTAGCACTGATAGAACAATAACTCTGGATAATTTCAGACATAAAAGAAATGTATCCTAGATACATACTTAAACTATTTAAGACTATGCAGTAATATCTGAAAACTGATTTTTTTTTAACAGTACATTGTTGCATTTTCCGCAAAATAAGCACTATCAGGTTTACTTATTCTGCAACTAGACAGTTAAGAACAAACAGCAGGGTCAAGAAACAAAACAACTTAAAAGACCTACAACAGTAAGAAACTAACACATCTGAGACATCCTAAAATTGCCCTTTTGAACTCTTTAAATCTTAGGTCTTATCAAAGATGGTTATCACATTCTCAAAACAGGCCTAACAGGTATTTCAAAATCCATTTTGGCGGCCCAAGGAACATGGTTTGATGTTAATTTCCTATCAAACCGCCACTACATTTCTCTTCCTTACCTGCTTGGTATGGTTGTCTACCATACTAGAAGAGTCATCGATAGCCAAACAAATCTGATACTGGCGTTTACTGGGCTTGGTCCTTCGAAGCCAAATCTTGTCTTTCCGAAATTGACTAGCAATATATGGAATGACTTTCCGTATGTTCAGTCGTTTCCCAGTTCGATAGTCTCCTCTATTTATTCAAACAGGGGCAAAAATTAGTTAACAACTTTTAATTCCTGAGAATTTTTATTAAGGACAAAAATCACATTAATGATACCTTAAAACCAATACCAAGTAACTAGGAACCTGGTACACAGAAGTGTTTCCGTCAATTGAGGACTAAGTGCAGGATCTTCTTGACCTCTAGCCAGAAAAACTGGACTTGTATGTGGCAATAATAATTAGGTCCTTCCAGACACATTTTTAAAAATTAAGAAAAAATACACTACATATGAATGATTTTGGACATCTTTGAAAAGATCTAGGTGAGTTAACACCTGTAGCAAGTGAATAACTCAACATGTAACAAGGTGATCAATGCAGACACCCAGAAACTTTTGTGCAAGATAATAATAGGAAAACAGGGTAAGGAACAGCATACTGGTGCCCGTACAGCAGGAGAGGCAACCTAGAAGCTGGCACTATGAATGGTTAGCTGCTGAGTTCAACAGAATCACGAAGCTGCCATCTTCTCAGAGCACTGTGAGGCCTTCCAGAGGGAAAGACTTACTTCAGCTTGGCTGCCTGGGTAGGCTCTAATATGAGACGAAGCTCTTCACATAACCGTTGTGAAAGAGGTGCTGTTAGGATCAGGTAACTCTGCCACATCTCAGCGGCAACCTTCTCCTGTGACAACAACAAAATGTAAGTTACCCTCAGAATGTCAGAGCCAACCAAGTCTTCTAGCAAGATACAGGCCTTAAGCAAAGTGGTAGAAAATGACCTGCATGAACTTTCTCAACAGAAGCACTTTAAATCTTCTCCCAGCAAGCTACCATGTAATTTACTTGATTAAAAATGTCTCTCCTTCCGGCCGGAGGCGGTGGCTAATGGCTGGTAATCCCAGCACTTTGGGAGGCCAAGGTGGGCGGATCACTTGAGGCCAGGAGTTCGAGACCAGCCTGGCCAACATGGTGAAACCTTGTCTCTACTAAAAATACAAAAAATTAGCTCGGCATGGGGGTGGGCACCTGTAATCTCAGCTACTTGGAAGGCTGAGGCAGGAGAATCACTTGAACCCAGGAGGCAGAGCTTTCAGTGGGTCAAGATCACACCACAGCACTCCAGCCTGGGTGACAGAGTGAGACTCCGTCTCAAAAAAATTAAAAATTAAAAATTAAAGAAAAAGAAGAAAAGTCTCTCCTTCAACCCACCCTTCTAAGTGAGAAAGAATGAAACAAGGCAGTTAATTATTGGAATTCATGACCAAATCAATGCCTTACTCATGTCACCTACAAAGAGTAAAACGTGCACCCTTCATATGGGGAGGGAGATGTGAATGGGTAATTTTGGCACCAGCAGATCCAGCTACTTATTGGTGGATTCTCAGTCATGTTTCAAAAGTAAAAGTGGGTGGGCTATGGTGGTTCACGCAGGTAATCTCAGCACTTTGGGAGACCAAGGCAGGTGATCACCTGAAGTTTGAGACCAGCCTGGCCAACATGGTGAAACCCCATCTCTACTAAAATACAAAAAAATTAGCCAGGCGTGGTAGCAAGTGCCTGTAACCCCAGCTACTGAGGAGGCCGAGGCACGAGAATTGCTTGAACCTGGGAGGCTGAGCCGAGATCTCGCCATTGCACTCCAGCCTGGGCGACAGAGCAAGACTCCGTCTCACAGAAAAAAAAAAAAAAAAAAGTAAAAATGCTAAGTACAAATCCCTCCAGCAATACACTCAACACAAAGCTCCATGATTTTTCTACCAACTATGGCAGAGCACTCAATACATATAGGTGGTGGGAGTGATTATGACAATAGATATAAAAGTGAAATGTGTACATAATACAGTAAATTTAGGATGCAAAGTCATTTAAAATAAAACTGCAGGCCGGGGACGATGGCTCACGCCTGTAACCCCAGCACTCTGGGAGGCCAAAACGGGCAGATCACGAGGTCAGGAGTTCAAGAGCAGCCTGGCTAACATAGTGAAACCCCATCTCTACTAAAAAAATATAAAAATTAGCTGGACATGGTGGCATGCACCTGTAGTCCCAGCTACTTAGTAGGCTGAGGCAGGAGAATCACTTGAACTCAGGAAGTGGAGGTTGCAGTGAGCCGAGATCATATCACTGCACTCCAGCCTGGGTAACAGAGTGAGACTCCATCTCAAAAAATAATAATAAAATAAAAATAAATAAAAATGCTGGTTAATCCACACTACCACGTTAAGTCAGCCAGCAATGATCTAGCTGGCCTCTTCTCAGGATGGCACAGCATAGACTCTTACACAGTTTTTCAACCTCTGTCACAACTATTACATCCATTACAGAGCCAGCAACAGAAATTAAAGGAATTAAGCACACCAATTTCTGTTTTAATTAAGCTATAGATCTAGCAGCAAAGCAGGCAGAAACTGATGGACAGATGTAGGCTTTAGGACTGTAATTATATTCTCCATATGCCTGGTCCTTTTTACTAAGGTAATTGCTAAGAACCTATTAAGTTTGCTATGAGTTAAACAAAAAAAGTCGAGATATTTTATGGAAAAAACAGTGACTTACTTCTTCTGGATTTTCAGATTCATGTGGCTGCCACATTTCCAGCTGTCTCTCCAGCTCCTGTCTTAGCTCACTGACATCTTTTAAAAAGGGCTAAGAAGAAAAAGCCATAGATAAGAGGTGGCCCAGGTTGGAATTGCCAACTTAGTATCACTGGCTGCCTTCCACCCTACAGTATGAACTCAAAGTACATAGTCAAATGCTCCTGAGATAATTCAGCAAATACAGTGGCACAATGAGAAGATGCCAGACAAGCATTCTACTTCCCTCTTAGAGAGACAATATGGATAAAGAAAACTTTTAACATTTATAAAGCCACTCTAGCAAAACAAAACCCAAACACCCTTAAGTCATTAATAATGAAAATGTTATCTGATTAATCAAATAAGTCAGACTCTTAGCTCAAGAACTTAATTAAATAGCTCTTCATAAATATAGGCACTAAGCCAAAGATTTTTTACTTAACCATCACAAACTTAATTGTCCTGAAGGTTCCTTACACAAGGATGGTTAGAAAAGTGGGATGTGAGTCCCAGAGGCCAAGGACCAGACCCACCATCACAGACAGGTCAGGGCACTGAGACCCTGTGATTAACTGTTGGAACAGTATCATGTGCTTGAAGAACACCTATTATACCAATAGTATTCCTAAAAATTTTGAATAAGAACATGAAACCCCTCAACAACCAGATGTTCCATAAAGTTCTAAAGACAAAGATTTAAAACTAATTTAAAATGTTATTTTGTTAATTTATGAACACAATGCAGTAATTTGTGAGTTTTACTACCTGGAAGATCGTGTCCATGAGGAATTGATGAGCTGTATGAATGGTAGACTCTCGGCTTCTTTCTGGTTTCTCATTTTCTGTCTCCTTATGGGCTCTGTCTGTTCTGGGGTCTTGGTCTTCCTCTGTTTTAACAGTTTGAATCTCCACTTCCATCTCATCAAAGCCTATTTTCATTTAAGGACATAATTTTACTTATCATAATACTAGCCTGATAACTGACCAAGCCTTTGCTATTGCCCGTTAATCCTGACAATTAATCAAACTTCATTCCTTCACTCTCCGACACATTTCCACATGTTGATTTCAGAGGTTTCTTTCTGAGACACTCATTGCCAATCCTTACTCTCTAAACTCCTCTCCTCCTCACCTGATATTGAAGGCAGCGTTCTGGGAAAGGGAATAGGGGAAATTTTGGGTTGTCCTAAGAAGCCTTTTAAAACTGTTTGATTCCTGAAACTATATCCATGTAAAACATTGATAGAAATAAAAACTAAAAGCCACAATTCCATTTTACAGATGAGGAAACTGAGGCAAAGAAAAGATGAATAATTTGCTTCAACTTGTGAGGTGAGAGGCAAAGCCTGGATTGTCACATAGGGCAGTCAAACGTTGTAACAGTTCTAACACTCCTGAGAGGACAGGATTCGAATTTGGCAAGTTCTTTTGAATTTGCATTTATTCAATTGCTGATAAAGTTATTTTTTTGCCAAGTAATAGAACTTGATTAGCTATGAAAGGGAAACCCCTCATTCTTTTTCTTTTAATATTTTACTGCATTTTATGCTAATAGCATATACTTTTATATAATTGAAAATATCGTTTCTCTAATAATATACCTTCTCATCATAGCTGTAGTAAGTATACTATTCTGGTTTCTTCTACATATTTTTTAAAAACTGATGAGATTTTGCCAGAAATTCAAGTTTCAGGGGACTCCTTGAAGGATGGTGTCCCGCAACACCCACCCCTGTCCATATTTTTGTTTTCTGGTCCCAAATAAAATATAGTGAAATTATTATAGGCAAATTATTCATCTAAGCCATGGATTAGGACATGGAACTGAACACCAGACTACAGTGAGAGACAACTGACTACTTCAAGTCAGCCAGCCTGGGAAGGATTTGCTCACTAGCAGGACTCACCCAAGGGTGCTGTGGTGCTCGACTTGATTTCCTCTGGCTTCAGCTGCTCCACGTCTGCTGCTTTGAGCTCCTCCTGCTCCTCTGTGTCCATGAGGGTGTCCTCTATCTCCTCCTCTTCCTGATCCCTGCCAGAGTCTTTTGCAGACTGTTGCTGTTCTTTGCTGGCCACATCTGTCAACAAAGCATGCACCCACACATAAAAATCCTAGTTATTTGCAGAACAAAATAATGATAAGTGGGTATGGTTTCTGTCATCCTAGCTTCCAAAATGCTACTGATGCAAGTCGTGCCACTGACCATATGTGGCTTGGAGACTTGTCTGTGCCCAAGATTTCCTATTGACCTACTGACATAATGAACTGCCTGTTCCCTACCTCCTACAGAAATTATGAGGATATAGTGAAACTATACATGTGACCACAAAAATAGGGTGTTTAACTGGGCTACAGGGTGACTCTAACAATAATTTATTATATATTTTCAAATGACTAAAAGAACAGATCTGAATGTTCCCACACAAAGAAATGATAAATGTTTGATGTGGTAGATGTTCTAATTATTTTGACTTGATCATTAAACATTGTATACATGTAGCAAAACATCACACTGTACCCCACAAATATGTATCATTATTGTAGGTCAATTAAAAATAATAAAAAGTAGTAGAAAACAAGGCACAGGAAGACAAACATGGGAATAGGAATCCCAGCATTGTGATCTTGGATGACTTCTTAAACCACTTGGCCTCAGTGTCCTTACCTATACAACAGAGATGCTCTGGCTCATAGGATTATTTGAGGAAGTTTGTGATCATGCAGCAAAGGCTCAGGAAAGTTTTTTGGCACCAAGCAAAAGCTCAATACATTGACTAAGAAGAAAGAAATGTCCAGTACTAAGAAACCCTGATATCAGGGTTTAGATGTGGCCAACTGTTATTTTTAACTATTATATTTAAGGATATTTAAAGGGTTTATACTAAACCAAGATATCTTAATCATCTTCACTTGGTTACAGATCCCTTTGTACCAAAAATAAACTGTATTTCTGCACATTTCTTATGTTTACAAAGCCATTTCCTTTCTCCCCTGATACAAATGTGTACTATTAGCTGCCAAGCACAGTCACACAGCACAAGCTCTTACAGAGAGCTCAGTGGACAAAGGCAGCAGTTTTCCCAGGACCATACCATAGGTCTGTGCATTGTATGCGTCGCTGCCTTGTTTAATGTGCTCAAATGCATCTGCATCCTCCACCTGGGCCTGGGGCTGCTGAGCTGGCCCCTGCTCGGCGTGGCTGTCCGTATCCACAGTCCTCAGCCTCTTGTGCACACGCTCATTGTGATCACCCATGGAACGTTCATTGTCAGCCTGCCCAGGTTTCCTCTTAAAACTCTGTGAGAAATACAAAGATATTCATCAGAGCCTTGCCTGTCATGACAAAAGGACTCAAAATAAACATAATATCCATCTATAGGGGACAAGATAAGTAAATCAGGTGTAGCCATACAAGAATGGAATTCAATACAGCTGTTAAAAAGAATAGGAGCTCTATATACTTATATAGAACAATCTATGATATCTAAAATGAAGGCAAAGAAACACACTTTCACACATCCATATATGCAGAAAGTATCTCTGAAAGAAGAAAGAATTGGTAATACCAATTTGCTCTGAGGAGGGTCCCCTGGGAACAGGAATAGGATATAGGCTTTTTAGGGGATTGGTTTTTTACACTAATTTTGCATCATGTGAATAAATTATACCCTACTTAAAAAACTGACTCTTAAAAAAGCAAAAGCCTATGGACAATGAAAAGAGTGAGACGGTTGGTGCTGGACAGCAGCACAGAGCACTTGGCTCTTAAGACTTCATGGCCGGAATCAGGGGTCGGGGAGAGACACAGGCAGGGAAGAAGCCCAGTGACGGGATCCCACTGGGTAAACCCCATGGTCCTGGTCTGCTCACCAAGGCTGCTATAATATCTGATGGGATAGCAAAAGCAGGAGTATAGCTTTTTTTTTTTTTATAAGCACTACATTTGGAACATCTTTTTCTACATGCTGCCTTCACCTAAGTTTAGCTGAGGAGTGATAGAAACCTGTGTGTTTTTCCTGGTGTGCTTCTGGGAAGTCAACTGGGCAATGAAATTTGATTCATGGCCTTCTGCCTGGTTTGCATCTGCGGCTCCACTTCCGTGTTCCTAGGAAATCCAAGCCATAAAAGAATGAGGTGAAAGAAGCTATTACAAGTCCCTGGTTACTGTGCTGCATTGAATACAACTTCTCTCACTGCTATTCTTTATTCTCAGTCATACAATCACTCCTGCCTACCTGCCAGCTCTGGAACTCATCGTAACTAAGGCCTGGCCTACAGGCAGAAACAGGAGTGTCTAGGTACAGACCTTATGTTACCCTCTCAGGGGCCTTTGTAAGGCTGCTTAGTTCTTTGCAGGAGTATTATGTCTCACTCCAAAGGCAGGACAGACCTCAAATAGAAACCAGGCTTCATCATCAACCAGCTAGGTACACTTGAGGTTGTCATTTAACTTTACTGAGGTGTATTTTTCTCAAATATACAATGAAGAAAAGAGTACAATATCATCTATCTCATGGGGACATAGTGAGGACTTGCTGAAGTAATGAAAATGCTTAGCACCTAATGGGTGCTCAATGAATAACTGTGGTGGTGGCTGTGTGGTAGTCATAGGGTATAAGCAATAGAAATGGTTGTTATTGTCAGTAAGAACTAGGACTCAAAGAGACTAAAGTTATCCAGAATCACCACTGTAACCAGCAGGTCCTGTGTTGACATTCCAGGTTCTTTCCATAGCACCCAGCAACCTGAATTGTGGCCATATCAGAACACATCACTACCAGATCCAAGAATGAAAAAGTTATTTGCTTTTTAAATTAAACATTTAGAAACCTGATGATAAGAAAGGAAAAGAAAAACACCGTTAAAGGTATATATTGCCTGAAGTCTAAATTCCATTTGCTTCCTGGAGAGCTTTCTGAAAAACACGAACCTGATTCTCCCATCTAGAGCTATCAGTCTAACAACTTTTTCTTATTATGCACACCACTTAAATACACCCGATATTCCAGGGTTTGTCCTGGGAGGCATATAAAAGTAAGTATCAGTCATGCCCCCACACAACAACGTTTCAGTCGAGGAAAGACTGCATGTACACTGGTGGTCCCATAAGATAATAACACGCTTTCACTATATCTTTTCCATGTTTAGATTCACAAATACTTACATTGTGTTACAACTGCCTGCAGTATTCAGTACAGTAACACACTGTACAGGTTTGCAGCCTAGGGGCAATTGGCTTTACCATCGAGGTTTGTGTAAGTACACTCTAGGGTTGCACAATGACAAAATTGCCGAATGAGGCATTTTTCAGAATGTATCTCTGTCTTTAGAAAAATAATTGTTCAGTCACACGTTGCTTAAAGAATGAGATGTGGGCCGGGTCACCAAAGCAGTCTAAGACATATATGTCTGGAACCAGAAGAGAGACTGGCTGCAACAAAGGACAAAAAGTCTTGATATCACTGTAATTGATGGTATGAAGCTATGGGAACATAGATGTAAGATTGTAAAAACATAGGAAATATCGGAAAAGTGTCCCTATACTAAAACCCTGAGTCACTCCACACATTTAGAGGCTAAGTAGAAAAAGGAGAAACAGCCGGGCGCGGTGGACTCAAGCCTGGTTAATTTCCCAGCAACTTTGGGGAGGCCGAGAGGGGCCGGGAATCACCGAGGTCAGGTAGATCGAGACATCCTGGCCTAACACGTGAAACCCCGTCTCTATAAAAAAATACAAAAACTAGCCAGGAGAACCTGGCAGGCGCCCGTAGTCACCCCCAGCTACCTCGGGAGGCTGAGAGGAGAATGGCTAACCTCGGGGGCGCAGTTTGGGCACATGAGCTTGAGATCCGGCAGACTCACTGCA